AAAGGAATACATACAAAAGAAACCTATTATACTAAAATACAATTATCAAAATATTTTAAAAATAAAGTAAATTATTTGGCATTTTTTAAATTAAAAAACTTACTTTAAAACTTTTAAAAAATACTCATGGATTGCCAGATAAGAGCTATTGAACTAGACGTAATGTGTTTGTGTGTATTTAGCAAAAAATACCTATACACATATATGTATCTATGTGTACATCACTTTCATATGTACTATAATATTAGGATGTATAATAAAAAAGAAAGGGATGGTGCAATTACATCTACAATAAAAAAATGAAGATTGGCATTAGAAAAACTGTCCACCATTCATCTCAGTAAATATTATCATGTTTCCTAGGTAGACATCTGTTTACACAGGTGATATACAAGGTGCTAGATATGTGCCTCTGGAGAAGGTTTTCTTCATAAAATTTTCCAGTACTTTAATTCTTTTTGTTAATATAAAAGAGGTTCAAAATAGTTCAGTATCATTTGGATCCTTCTTTTGTCAAATAGCTATTTGAACTATGTCAGAAAGAGGGAGTGTAGAGTTGCCCATGAGTATGTCAACTGCAAGGGCAGCTAGGTGGCACAGTAGATAGGGGGCTGGGCCTGGAGTCAGGAAGACCCGTGTTCAAATGTGACCTCAGACCTTTACTAGCTGTGTGACCCTGGGGAAGTCACTTACCCATAGTTACCTCCTTGTCTGTCAAATGATCTGGAGAAGGAAATGGCAAACCACTCCCGTATCTTTGCCAAAAAACCAAACCAACCCATACAGGATCAAGAAGAGTTGGATGTGATTGAAAAATCACTGAACGACAACAACATATCAAATGCAAAGGGAGCCGGGGAATGGGGTCAAAGGTACTCATGACTCTCTGATTTTCTTTTCAGATATCTCCCACAATTGAGGATCCGCGTGTCTTTGGCCAGATAGAGGAAGCACTGAAACGGATATCATGACCTTTTGTCTTCTGTAAAAACTTACAAAGCAGTGGAGAAGATATTTTACTTTGATAAAGAGAGAGAGGTGGATAATTGGAAGGTCTCAGTAGTTACAAAGCAAAGTAGTTAGGAAGTAGAGGTTAATTATGTAGTTGAATGGAAGGTCTTTAATTGACCATGCCAATGGCTACTGGTTATTTGTTACAGGTCTTTAGTATTTTTATCCATCCTTTAGGTTTTTTTTTTAATGTTTTTGTGGCTTTATTTTCTATAATTATGCTAAATTCTAGTATGAGTCTAATGGAATTATAGACTGTCAGAGCTGCGAGGGACCTCAAAGATTATTTTGCCCTACTTCTACTCTCCCTCCTCTAATGTGAAGAAACTGGAGTCAAATGTGACTTTGGCCCTTCTCCCTGCCATATGTTCAAATTTAACTGCCACTACTCCTCAGAAGCTAAAGTTGTTAGGAGTTTGGAACAGGAATAGAAGTAGAGGACTTATTTTACATGACAAATTAATCTTAGAGTAGGACAATCTACATGGCATGGGAAGGAAAAAAAAAATTTGGTAGAGCAGAGGTAGGGAACCTGCAACCTCAAGGCCACATATGGCCTTCTGAGTCCTGGGGTGCAGCCTTTTGACTGAGTCCAAGTTTTACTTTTATTAAGGGGGTTTGTTCTGTGAAGTTTGGATTCAGTCAAAGGGCCGCACTTGAGGACCTAGAGGGCCACATGTGGCCTCGAGGCTGCAGGTTTCCCACCCTGGGTTCCAGCTTAAAGGATATTATCACAGATTTAAAGCCGGAAGAAACCTCAGAGATCTAATCCCTGTACTCATTTTATTGATGAGGCAACTGAGTCCACAAAAGATGGGTGACTTGCCCAGTGTCCCACAGGTAGGAGTGTCAGAAGTGGGACTTGGAGCCATGTCTTTGGACTCAAGAGCCAAAGAACTCAAAGCCCTTTCCACTGTACCATGGTGCTTCCAGTTACACTAAAGATCAAATGGACCAAGTGAGGTGTTATTGGTAAGTCCATTCACACTGGTCTAGAATGGGTAAGATGATGGAGTTTTCTGATGGACCAAATTTTCTGATAAACCCAATTTTGAACAAGCTAGAATGCAGGGAAGCATGCTTGCTCCTTGTAAGGTGTGTGTAGTAAACTGGATTGTGTATAATTTCATCTTGGATGATTCACAAGGTGCCTCTGGGTCAGGAGAATGAATTATCAGTTGTATGTACAGTTCTGTAGATTTATTTAAAAAAAAAAGTGGTGACTTAGACTCTTAATGCTTTGGAATTTGCTATTTGAATAAACATGTCAACTTATTTACTTGTCTTTTATATCTCTTAAAAGTAGTGTGTACTATGCAAAGGGGAAAGTATAGAATTTTTGAGATTCTAGAGAAAATGTACAGTTACTATGCAAGAAATACTTAGTTTAATTTAAGTTTTCTCTGTAACTGATTACAAAAAAGAATAATATGATTTCCTAGTTCTTCTTTTTCTTTCTTTCTTTTTTTTTATGAGGCAATTGAGGTTAAGTGACTTGCCCAGAGTCTCACAGCTAGTAAGTGTCAAGTATCTGGTCTGAGGTCACATTTGAACTCAAGTCCTCCTGGCTCCAGACCTGGTGCTCTATCCACTGCACCACCTAGCTGCCTGATTTCCTAGTTTTTCAATTGGTTTAATGTGTAGAAAATTATATAGCTTACCTTTGAATTTTAAAGGAACAGGATTTTTTTTTTTGGCCATTTCATGTACTTGTTTCAGCTGTAAGTCCTAACAGATTTAAAAATCAGTATGTCTTTATGTCTGGGAAAAAAATTATCTTGTTTCCTTTCTTTTTTTGAATGTAGTTACATTGATTAAAATGGGGAATTCTGTTGGAGAAACAATTTCTCCATGCAAACAGCCAGCTTCCATCTTTTGAGTACAGTCACAGCGAGACAGACAAGATGATCAGGCCAACATTTCATTTAGTACTTAAAGGTAGAGGGCTTTGGCTGCAGATTCTGGTGATGACCCAAATCAGAGGGATTGGAAAATGTTGTATTGTATTCCCCCTCAGGAGAGGGGGGAGAGAGCTATCTTCTAAGCAAGAGATTAAGAAGCTTTGGATTGTTCATTGTTTTTGAAAGGAAGTATCCACATCAGTCAGATCCCAGGTCCATTGAAGTATATACAGTTATCCTTTCCATAGTGCAGGGTAGGGGGAAGGGGTTAAGGGCACCATGTCCCTGTGATCTGGAAAATCCATGTCAAATTTTTTGGCCCTCTCTTTTCTTTTCCATTAATTTATTTTGATTTATCAACAATCACTTCCATAAGCTTTTGAGTTTTAAATTTTTCTCTCCCTTCCCAAGACTGCACACAATTTGGTCCTCTCTTTGTAACAGAGAAGTCAGAATTTTTTCTTTTATGGGGTGTTTACAGTATTAAAAGATAAAATATGTTGGTATTATATAATACTATATATATTTTTATGCATTTCTGTGTTTCTAAACTTTTTGTGTCTTTTGCTGGCCTTCACATGTCATCGGTGGCTAAACTCCCCCAAAATTCCCACTTAATTTCTTATGCCAACCTACAATATATTGACACCACGATGGGGAAAGTCATAATGTGGAAGGGATAACTGTACCAACAGGGAAATTTAGTCTATAGAAAGCATTAATGGCAGTCTGGGTACTTCTTCATTCATATTTATCACCCCTTTCTCCTGCATTTTAATCATAGAAATCATTGTTGTTGTTTTTTTAAAGCTTTGAAAAGGTAATCCTAGACCATTCCTGCTTTTCATTATTTTAGGTGGCATGGTAGGTAGAGAGCTGTCCTCAAAAAACAAGAAAACCTAAGTTCTAGTCCAGTTCAAGACCTCTCAGTCCTATTGCAGAATAGGTTTAGGGAAGGAGTCTCTTCATCTGAGGATTCCTTAGACTACTGGTGTCAAGATCAAATAAAAAAAAAAGCCAGGGGGCTACTTGCCCATACATAAGGCTCCTATAGGCCACATACTGACATTATGTTTTGTGGTATTTATATTTTGTGAATTCCAAATTACATTTTAATATGGTTGGGTGGGCACTTGGGAATGTTGCAGGCTTAATGGGCCTTCTGTTTGACTGATACAACTAGTGACTTTGCATGTGTTTATTTAAGGGAAGTGCCAAAGAATGTTTTTAAAATGCCAGGTTTCCATCCAATTTAAGGAAATTTGTATTCAATTTAACAGATAAGTTTCTTATGGAAAAAAAAATATATATATATATTTTTCCTATCCAGTTTTTTCACTTAAGAAAATTAAATGTATCTCTTGCTTAGTTGGAAAGCTAGACCAAAATCTATAATGCTTTACATGAAAGAGACACTGATATATAACCAAGGCTAGAAGTTGTGAATCGGCAATCATGACTGAAACATCTAAAACTACTTATTTTAAGAAAGCACAAAAAAGTGACAATTTTTCGAAACCAGTCCAAATTGTATAAAATCCTTCTCCAAACATAGGCTCTTAATAATACCCAGTGGGAGGAGTCTATGGAGATGATTCCAGAGGTGAATGGACTTTCATATAGCTGTTACTGTTATGATGGTGATAAAAAGAGGGTCTAGAGTTTTGGGATGTGCTGGAAGCTATCTTGGCTTTTAAAAGACGCTGTTAACTCTTTGAAGGTGCATTTAATATCATTTCTTCAGAAAAGCCCCTCCATGCCTCGCCTAGTGCTATCCATAATAAATGACATTACCTATTTTCCTATCTCCTTATAGATAGGAACTACCTTAGCCTTACTGCCTGTAAGGAGCAAGACATGATTTCTGGTTTATTGCATCCCCATCCGCAGACCTCGGCTGTCTTCTACAGGTTTATAATCAAACATTTGCAAATCCTTCCAACAGTTCATCCGGCTGATTTGCGAGTTTAGTCTTCCCTCTTGTGGCAGAATGAGGTAAGACAACTATCACTCTGGGTACCAGTGTTGTGTGGTGGTTTATTTACATCTTTGTGTGACTAGCTACAAAGCAAAGATTAAACACAGAAGTGGAAGAATTATTTTTTATTGACAACTGGGGAAAATTCTCTCACCGTTTACCTGTCTACTGAAATCTGTCAAACAGAAGACAAATGTTATGTACGTGCAAATATTGCAAATTAAACTGCAAAAAGAAATAACTAAAAGACAGGTCTTGAGCTTAATAAGGTGAAGCAGCAGAAAATTAGCATTTAGGTAAATGGCATTATTAAATAGGTTGTACTTTGAAATTTCCCATGTAAACAAAGAATAAACAACAGTCACACCACCAAATAAAGCCACAGGGAAGAGTTGCTCTTCTATATTTTTATACACTATATATGTTATTTATTCTGTCTTTCAGTAATTTCCTCTGATAAAAATGGACTTCAGGGAAGTCTCAACAAGGCCATCTTGGCTAAAAGCTTATAACATTAGTCATGGGTCTGGCTAACGCCCTGTTCCAAAGACAAAAACAAAAAAAGTGTGGGGGGGGGATTCCAGTGTTATTTGTTTGTTTGTTTGTTTTTAAAGTAGGAAATTTGAGCCTCAGACTCCTTGCAGTGCTTGGAGATCATTGTCTAATGCTGGCTGGCGACTGAAGACCTTAGAATGAAAATGTGGTTATTAGGAAAGAAAGGTTCTTTCTTGGTCCACAGGTAACAAGAAAAGATAATGTTCCTTAGAAACTTGGTTTTTAGTCATTGCTTTTGTAAACAGTTTGCTTGGTTTTGTGTTGAAAAGGACAGAGAGCCATCACAGTGCTTTTTCTACAGGTTCTGGGCATTTCGGGTTGCCTTTGAAGGTCCATTTTGGCTCCATTTCCAGGTTAAATCATTCAGTTTGGATGGGATCAGAGGCAGGTGTCCAGCTTTAAGTATTGACAGATTTGAAGGAGGAAGGAGTGGAAGCTAACTCCAATAAACATATTCATCCAACTGTTACAATCCCAAAACTGTAAAAATGGAATGATAAGATACAAACAGGATAATTGTCAAGTGCTTGCACTCAGACTCCATGAACCATAGAATTTTTTTTATATAAAATCATATTTATATCAATTTTTACATAAAACTTACACATTTTAAAAGAAATACATACACAGTAATACATAAATGTCTAGTATATTACAGTAAAACGGATGGAACAATGTAAAAATGAGTGGTTCCATTTTGTAAAACATCTGGTGTAAAGGATGCTTGTTTTAAAATGACTGAAGCTTTTTTTTTCCTCTTACAATTGTAGTGAGCTAACGAAACAATGCATGGGAAAAGAATCACATTTTCAGCTTAATAAACCTTGACTTGTCATCATTTTCCCTTAGGGCTCAAGTGTCCTAGTGGTTTTCACGGCTCCTCTTCTAAGGTAATAGTGCACTTCAGGTAGAGTAGACTGAAAAGATGACATCTAAAGAAACAGTAAATAGAATGTTACCAACTGCGGTCTGGTTCTACTCTGCAGAGTAAAACTCTTCTTGCCTTCTTAGGAGTGTCTACCTAAGAAACCGAGTACTCATAGCCTACACTAATGGAATTTGAGGACAACAGGTAATTGTGGGTCCTAGCACCAACTGCATATAGTTGTTATCATATTTTTATTAAGAGCGTTAGACTGAAGTTAACATAACATGAAAAGAGATTTTGATCCACTTGAAGGTAAATTCAATAGTATTAGACTTTTTAGGTAAGTAGCTTGTTACAATGGAAATAATCACGGATTCGGAGGCACAGGACTTGGATTCAAATCTCATTTCTGCTATTTATGACCTGTGGGATTTTGGGCCTCATTGTAAAAATGAGGGGATTAGAGTTAATGCCCTCTGTAGTCCTTTCTAACACTAAATTTATGCTCCCTTGATACCATAAATTTGGGATCAATTGAGGTGAGGGTCTGTGAATGTTTTTATTACAAAATATTTTTATATTTGTATTTTACTGTAAAGTTTTACTTAGCAGTTTTCTGTGTTTTATTTTACATGTAAAAACATCCATAGACCTTTACCATACTGCCAAAAGGGTTCATGTTGCACATAGTTAAGAACCCCTCCAACAATTCAGTATGTTTGCAGAAAAAACGCAAACCTGGCTACTAATATTCTTAGAGACAGTTGGATTAAATTATTCTACTGAGCACATCTGTCTGATACTGGTGGTGGTTTGTCTTTCATTGTCAAAGAGGACCATGACTTGCAAGTGGAATGGATTTAAGTGAGAGAGGGCTGTGCAAAGTCACCAACCTCACTTTCTCCTCTGGAGCCAGCTGGGTCCAGAGGTAAGATATGGAAAAGGGCAACTTGAATACCCCCGATGCAGTGGGAGAGCTTGGATTTTTTTAAGTTAAGGTCTTCCCCAAGTCTCAGGTTGACTGAGGCAAAGCCCATTCAGTGATTAAGACTAAGTAAGAAATAAGGAAACTATTGGCCTCTTTTACCTAGTCAAAAAAAAAAAAAAACAAAAGTCAATCTGGGAGGGGAAGACCCACAGGGTTTCTGGTCAAAATAGAAACAACTGCTATTTACATTCACTCTGAGCCATCAGGGCCCAAATAGTGACCAAGTGAAGTTTGGGCTGGGGCCTCTTGTTGGCCAACCTATGCGAGCCAGAGCAATTTGGGTTTAAGACATGGTTCTTAAGAAAGAAATCTGGCCCTTAACCTCTAAGATATCTTGTGAGGTTTCAGCGAGCGAAATTTATATTCCTTTGTACAGAGCACCCACAGGTAAGGGTATGATACCCTACGTGGACAGAGGGAGAGGAGAGAGGAAGGAAGGAAAGTAGGAGCTGTGTTGCCTAACTGGAACTGGCCAGTTGGGTCCTGAGTGGGGCAGCTACTACTACTCATAGGTTGTTGTTTGTCCTTCATTCTCTAAGAGGACCATGAGTTCAGGAAAGAGGTACCATGACTTGAAAGTGAGTTGGGTTTAAGTGAGAGAGGGCTATGCCAAGTCACCAGCCTCATTCTGTCCTCCTCCAGACCCATCTGAGTCCAGTGGCAAGATATACATCAGGATGACTGGAGATGGCCCCCTATTTGAAACTATGTGAGTCTGAAACATATAGCACTGCAACACTTTTGTTAACTGCTTATGCCAGTTTTTAGAAGCTGCTGCTATCAATTGTGTTAAAATAATATGGTAGAGAATTGTTGAAATGGTCCAAAGGTGACATTTATTAACATGCCCATTGCCTGTCTTTCGATCAGTAATCAGTGTTAGCATTTCTATAGTGCTCAATGATCTGCAAAGAGCTTTATGTTGACAAAAATCACCTATAACCACTCAACATCATACAGGAAATTGAATAAACAGCATGCTCTGAATTTTCCATAAAGCATATATACTCTGTTCATCTAAAATCATTCCTTATGGGTTTACTATTGTGAATAAGTGTGCTTAGAATTCCCAAGAGAGAGGATCAGGAAAATGCTAACTGAAACATTACGTACAAAACTGAATGGGACTAGTTAGGGAAGAAAGATAAATGCTTTCCTTAGTCAAAAGCAGCAAAGCCCTAATGAACATATTAAGTATTCATTGTGTAAAACAGCAAAATAGTCAATTCTTGGGGAAATAAGCATGTTGTATGTAGGATGTACTTATGAGAGAACATTATTCTGGAAAACCTCCTGTTTAATGAAATTATTATATGCTTCAGACTGTGCCCAATTAAATGCCAAATTGTATGCAGTAATTACATGTCTAATGTTAGGGTTGCATGCTTTTATTTAAATCTCCTACTTGAATGTGGTTTTTTTTTGAACCAGCCAACTCCCTTATTGGATACAAAAGATGAATTGTAAATTTGGTGACACTTGGGGTTCAAGGCAATGAACAATTAAGAGCTGCTTCTCATCCATTCCCCTTCTTACTCTCTTACCCCGTGCGAACATACCATTCTTTCTGAAAATCTTCCCAATTATTCTCCTCCCCACAAATCTGTTCTACAGAATGGTACTGGTCTTGGTGAAAATGTACCTACCATGTATGTGTAGAAGGTGAGGGAATCTTTCTTGTGTGTTGGCAGATTTAATAATTGATTCTGTTTGTTGTAGATTGTTGTAGACAGGAGAGCCTTTTTATATTATGGATTTGGATATGCCGTAGAGCAAGACCCAACTCCCATCTATGGGAAAAGGTCTTAAGCTCACAAGACCATTTGTCTTACTTCCCAACACTATAGAAAAAGTTTTTTTCACTTTTTAGAAACTTAGTAACTTATAAAATGTGCCTCAGTATCATTTTGGTGAAAACCAAGTCAAGATGAAGTGCCAAGAAGCTTAAACTTTTTGACAGAGATGCCTAAAACCAAAGGCTCTTACCCTAGGGTATGTTGACCTTGTTTTGTTTAATATTTTGATAACTGTTTCAATAGGATTGGTATCCTCTGTATTTTATGAATTTAATATTATTCTGCTAAGGGGTTTACGATACTGAAAAAAAAAACATTTAGGAACCCTTGCCTAAGACTAAAGATGCCAAGCTATTTTTCCTACTCTCTCTCATTGGGTAGGTTTTGTCTAAATGACTATCTGCTTCTTCTAGTAAAGTAGTGTTAGCTCTTAAGGCATTCTGTTACTACTGGTTTAAAGGACAGATCCTGGTTAGTTAATCATACCGTGTCCCTTAATTTAAATGTTAGTCATCAAACAAACTTAACATAGCACTGATGGATGGTGGTGATCAGATGACAGGTCGCCATGAGACCTTCAACCACAGTAGACAGATCAATGTTAATGGTAGCACTGGATTGAGAAACTGTAACTACCAAGGAATGCCAGAGATGGGGTGGGGAGGTGTTGAAACCCGGTGCATGTGCTTTTGGAGTAAACAATAGCTACTCACAACAGTTCAGTGCTGCCTCCTTTGATAGGCGTGTCAACATGAGTATGTGCGAACAGTGGAGCTGTCTAACCTCTGCAACCTCGAAGAAGCAACTGTAAATGGAGAGAAGGGCTTTAGCAGGCCTGGGGGATGGAATACCAAAGTCCAGAGTTAAATGGGGGGGTCCCCTCCCCCAAAAGAGCAATTCTAAGCCAACTAATCTTCTCTGGTTCCCCTGTGGAGATTGTCCTGGTCTGTAAAATGAGGGGATTCAACTAGGTGGCCTCAAAGGCCCCTTCCAACTGTAACTCTATGGTCCTAAAATCCTTACTCTTCTCTGAAAAGGCTCAGCCTAAGGAAATTAACTCAGCTGAGTTTTTAGTTTCAAAAGCACCACTGGCATGTAGTTTCCTGATAAGTTGGGGAGAATGCTTTGGGGCTTCTGGTGGGATAGATAGATAGATAGATATGCAGGTCTTGGGGGGACAGAAGGACCTTAATTCAAACTCTGCCTCAGACCTTGAGCAAGTCACTTCTCCCCTCTTAGCTTAAATTTTCTCAGCTGTAAAATGAGAAGGTTGGACCAGATTGCTGTATTTTTGTGATCTTTGAATCTCTTAGTTGAAGTATACTATATTACTCTCTGGTCTTGTTTTAGTAAAAACATGGAATACCCTGGGCAATACTTAGTTGATGGTGTTTTTATGTTTCCTCTGCATAGTGATGATGTTCTAGCTCTCGGTAACTACTAAAAACTCCTGGAACTTAAAACAATTCTTGGAATGTTTTAGTGAACTTCAAAATTCATGAACTGATGATGTGGCAAAGTAAGAGATTATGCCATAATGATATAAAGAGAGTAGGACTCTTTTGCCCCCTGTCTACTTGACAAGAATGATGATGAATTCTCATGAAAAAAAATATTTTACTCAAATTCAACAAATTTATGAAAAGCATACCATGTATGCACACTGTGGCAGGTACTAGATAGAGGAGATAAAATGTTTAGATTGATCTCCTTCCTAGCAGATGGTTTTCCCTTACTATTTATGTAATAATTTCCACTAGGAACTTCATTAAAAGTGATTATTGAAGGCTTATACCTTTGTCAGAGGGGATATATACATATACAGATTTATGTATATGTACATAGGTATTCGATGAAGTCAGCTTACTGGTGTTAAATGTGAAATTTGAATATTTAGTGGAATGCAACCAGCTTTCATCTATTAAGAGTCTACTTCTAGTTCAGATCTAGCTTCTTCCTAAAAGAGTCAGCTTGAAAAAAAAAAAAGGAAGTCTAAAGAAATACAGAAAATAATATTTTTCATTCCCCAACATAGCCATTAGCCAATATTGTCACTGGTGGAGACATCTATGTAATAAGCAGATGTGAACTAAATGGAGGGAATGTCAGAGTCAACCACTTGCCATTTATTCAGGGTTTTGCTGAAAGCACAGAATAATTTTCAAAGGAAGGCAATAATCAATTCCCAAAAATGATAATATGCACATTTACTATCTCATTGTGTCGTTTGGTAACCAAAAGTACAAAAATACTGTACCGTCTGTTGCCATTTTCCGAGACTGCCCAGATGTGGTGGTTAGCCTAAACCCAGCTGGCAATGTCTCTGAGGAACCAGGCATCATACTGATCCCATGGACTTCACGGGGAGGAAACTGTCTTCTCCATGATGACCCACGCCTAAAATTCTTGTCATCACTCTGCCAGTGCAGAGTTTGGAATGTGTTGAAATAAAATGCAGTCAGAATGTTATAAGCATCTGAAAACGTGTGGACAGAGATAAATTATCTAGATTTTTTTACTTTGTCCCTCCTACCCCTTACTATCAAGGATGCTGAATTTCTATACCTCTTGCTGAAAGAAAAGGTAAGTATGTAAACAACTATGGGGAAAGGAAAAACTGACAAGCCTTTGAAATTTTCTGTATTCTTTTTGGTATGAATCAAATCTGAATTTTATTGCTACGATAGCAAGATGTTTTTTAAGGTAAGCTTGAAGGTCTGGAATTGAGAACTGTGATCACTTTCATTTCATACAGACTGATTTTTATAATGATGAGATTATATAGATAATTAAAAATTTTATTACAGCAAATTCCATTTGACTGTCACACCTCAGTACCTATGGTTTTGTTAAAAATGTGTTGGAAAATGAGGAAGGCAATCTATCCATGAGAACATCAGACACAGTGCTTGTCACTCTATGTAGGATAAATTTGCAAGATGGGGGTCATAAAGCAGAAAGTTAGATGTCTTCAGCTTTACCCCTGAGGGAAGAACAAGGGTTCTACAATGAGTTGTAGCAAGAAAGATTTTGGGGCAGAATATAGGGAAATACTTTTTGATGATTTTAGTGACCCCCAGAATGAAACAAATGGACTGCCTGTTGGGAAATGGGGGAGGGGAAGCTCACATTATTGGTCTTCAAACTAAGACTGAATGACTTCCTTGTCACAAGGTAGTAAGCCTCTGAGGTGACATCCAACTCTGAAATAATGTATTTTTTTAAACCACTATTGTTTTTATTGGTTTGCAGCTATTTTGAAAATGACTGGTACTTTGCTGAAGGAAAGAAGGGGAAAACTGCACCCTGCAACTTATATGTTTAATTCATAGAAGTGTTTTCCTTTTACCCTTGAAGAATGTTTAATATTGTTATTATTGTTCTTTGAGATCCCTACACTTGAAATGGAGCTGCTATCAGACAGAACAGTGATATAGTTCTCCAGTTAAATCTCACATTTTTCACTCATGAGTGTTGGTACATATACTGATTTCTAATGTCATTCCAGTTCTTGTTTCTTAAATTGGGGAGACCTATTTAAATGGTAGCTGACTACTCACATAGACTCGAGTTAATCTGGTTCTAATGATCAATTTGGGGAATGGATATTTTTCAAGAAAAATTACTTGCTTTGAGAGAATTTACTTCATGAAGGTAGAAGAACATTTTGAATTAGTGGCTGAGCCTCAGTGGAGGAATCAGGGGCATAATGGATTCAAACTGGCTATTCCATTTAATCAGTATGTTTTGGACAAGTAACAGATTGGTCCTGGAGAACTTTCAATAGGCATAGTTGAAAATTATTGTATATTCTATTTCTCCTGACTCACTGGTTAAAAAACCTACCAGCTTAAATATGGGCAACTTTGAATTTGGTATATACTTTAAAAAAAACAAACAACTTCATACTATATGGATTAGAGATTTGCAGTTTCACATATAATCCATCCTTACTGTTCTCATATGGAAATGTTTTTGGTATTCATTCAATAATATCCCCTCCCTCATTAGAGTAGACAGGAGGAAATCTGCATTTAATTACTGCAACTAGAATGAACATTTTTCAGTTTCTGGAATTATGACTAGCTATTCCACGTTTTTCTAGGCAGAGAACTATTTCATATAAATATAGTGATATATGGAGCCTTAGAATGTTTTGAATATTGAATAATTAACATTAATAGAATAGTATTTAGTTTCTTCTGTGACTTTCAGGTTTGTTTCCATTGCATTGAAAAGTAGCCATTACTGAATGGTTAGAGACATCCCCCCCTTTTTTTTTTTTGTCAAAGCCACCATGCACTCCAGAGCATTCTATTTTAAATGTGACATCCACTTCCTTAAGAGATCTGGGGGAAGAAGTTTTCAGAAGATAGGTTTCCCAGGTCATCTGTTATGTTAGCCAGTTAATAGAATCAGATCATAATTCCACTTGTTGGAATCACTTTGAGAAATGTAATGTCCTAGATTGTCAACATGGAAGTGGGAAGCAGCCCACATTTATTACAAGGGCAAATGAGTTGAGCTCATTTTGCTCACACAGGACAACATCCACAGTACTGTGGATTCTACTTCTAATACTAGGAAGAAGGGAAAAACTCTTTTTTAAAATTCCCAAGCACATTTAAAGAATAATATGGATATATTTATTTTTATTTCTTCAATTAGTATTACCAGAAAAACACATGGTAGACCCATAATACATTGAGATCTCCTTCTGGTTGGTTACCTGACACTTAAACTCATTTTCTGAATTTTCATCTTTTGCAAGAGAATGTCTTAGAAATCTCAGCCCAAAAAAACCAATTTACTATAAAATGGTATCACGAGATTTGGGTTGTGACTCTGCTAGTTTTTGACTATGAAAGGTGGTTTTATCTGTATGAGCCCCAGCTTCTACATCTCTAGAAATAGGACTTGCAAGACCTACTGCCACAATTTTTTTTTCCAGTGAGACAGGTAAATAACAGAGGCAATCTGGACCTATGATTTTTATTCATGCATATCAATACCCACTCACCAACTTGTTCTTAGAGAATTACCCAGTAGCAGTGAAAGGTTAACAAACTTTCCCAGGGCAACTCAACCAATAGGGGGATCAGAGATGACACTTGTATATGTCCTCCTCGGTGGTCAACCCTCTATCCACTATGATAGCCATAAAGTACCATCTAAATGTAAGTTATTGTTATTTTGGAAAAAAAAAATTCATAATTTTTTAATGACTTTTGGAGTCAGCTGTTAAGACAGGATAACCTTTGGGTTTAGACTAAATGTTCTCAACCTGGGCCCTATAAACTTAAAAATATTTTTTAATTAACAGGATTTCAGTATAAATTGGTTTGTCTTGTAATCTGATTTATTTTATTTTATGCAGTTAAAAATATAATTCTGAGAAAGGTCCGCAACCCAAAAAAAAGGTAAAGAACCCTTGTTTTACCATCTGTACTAGAAAGCACAGTGGACTTTTGGTTGGATTTCTGCTCTGCCTATTAGTATCTACATGAGAAATTTAGGTTTTCCCCTCTTCTCAAAGCTCCGTTTTCTCATCTCTGATTCCCAAACTTTAATGTGCTAGGCAACTGCCTGTCTGTTATTATCGCTAGCACATGGATAATAACAATGCTTTTACCACCTATGTATGGACTTGTTTTGTGGATTTAAAGTAATTTGTAAATATAACACATGACATTAATGCTAAGTGATATCATAAGAATTCAAGTGGAGTATTTTTATTATCTAAGTACTTTTTCCACACTTAGGAACCCAGAATTATTTGGAACCAGTATTTCTCCCTGTGCCACCTATGGAGCCTTCTCCAGACACACCAGTCATTAACATGGCCTAAGTTATCGGCAACTCTGGGCTTTGCCTACTTTCTCTGGGATTTCTTACCAATAGTTACAATTTGCATGGTTCCAGAACTTCTTAAACTTTTTTTTTCCATGGGAGACCCCTTTTCATGTTTTTTTTTTGTTTGGTTTTTTTGGATGGGCAGTGGGGTAAAGTGACTTACCCAGGGTCACACGGCTAATGAGTGTTATACATCTGAGTCCAGGGCCAGTGCTTTATCTACTGCACCACCTAGCTGCCTCCCCCACTTTCATGTTTTGGCAGCATTAGTTAGCATTGTGTGACCTGAAAGCGTGTGTGGTGCAAAAGGTGCATGCTTTGTGTTCAGAGCCAAGCTCTGCCAGAAACACCTCAGATTCATTACACACATTTGATTTTTAATTAATTTTTGGTCGTTGCACATTCAGAAACCTCTTACTGTTGCCAAATTTTTTCGACCCCATATGGGGTTGCAACCCATAGTTTAAGAAGTGTTATCTGCAGTAGCTAGATCTGGCTTAGTGGATAGAGCACTGGGTCTGGTGTCAGGGAGACCTGAGTTCAGATTCAGCCTCAGATACTTTACTAATTGTGTGACCCTGGGCAAGTTATTGTTTGCCTTAATCTACTGGAGAAGGAAATAACAAACCACTCCAGTATCTTGGCCAAGAAAATGCCATAGACAATATGGTCCACAGGGTCACAAAAATTGGACCTGACTGAATGACTGGACAACAGCAAATGACTTGTGGATTTTGACAGAATTGTAAAAATGTAATTCATTTTAAGTTAAAAATTGGCTAAAATGATGGAAAATGCATTTATTTTAAAATCTGGAAATTTCCCATTAAGGGAGTCTGGTATTCAGTGATCTGCTATTAAATAGCTGAATCTCCAAAAATTATCTTTACATGCAATCCTATTTCTGGTAAAAACTAGGGTGACTTAAATTGGGGTCTTTGAACTAGATCACAAATTTACTTTTTTCAGTATTTTGATACCTATATTTCAACATAATTGCTTTACTTTGTAATCCTGTATCACTTATTTTATGCATGTAAAATATTGTTCTGGTAAGGAATCTATGACAAAAAATGGGTTAAGAACTCTTAAGTGATATCTAGGGTTCCTCTAGATCTACACTTCTAAAAATTCTTAGATTCTTTGATACTAATTAATCAGGGCAGTTGGTTTCCATTCATATATTATGCAAAACAGCTAAATATTTTGTGAAATATCATCTTCTTTAAATGATCAATTTTGATAAGATGGACAAGGGTTTTGTAAACCATAAGGTTTTGTATAAATACTAGCTATTATTTCATGAATCATTTCAATGTCACTGATTCCTAGAAAATTTTATTTGATATTAGAGGTTTATGAAATTTCAAATAGTTAAATTAGTTTAGTATTTTAGTTCATGGGAAAGATAGGTAGATTTTAAGAATGAGAATCTAAGTTCAAATATTGGCACTGTTATTTAATAACTGTGTGATTGGGAAGCTAGGTGGTGCAGTGGATAGAGTGCCAGCCTGGAGTCAGGACCTCATCTTCCAGAGTTTAAATTTGGCCTCAGACACTTACTAGCTTAGCTGTATGACCCTGGGCAAGTCACTTAACCCTGTTTGCCTCAGATTCCTCCTCTCTAAAAAGAGCTGGAGAAGGAAATGGCAAACCACTCTAGTATCTCTGCTAAAAAACTCCAAATGGAAGCCATACAGAGTCAGTCATGACTAAAACAATTCAACAGCAACAAAAGTGATTACATACAAGCTATTTTCCTTAGTTTGCAGATCTTTAAAATAAGGAACAATTAATCTCTAAGGCTCCTTCCCTTTTTAAATCAATGAGCCCGTAATCATAAGGAAGAATGCTAATAGGCAAAATCTACTACTTCACATAGAGAAACAATCACAGAAATCCCCGCCTTCCTAAGAAGCATGCATATCCCGTATTTTCTATAAAATCTCTCCATTCAAATGAAATATAAGGGCTTACTTCATCCAGCCTCCGCTCAGTTCCCAGTGCCAAAAGATTGTTGTATTCTCTTTCAAGAATTTGCCTTGCCTAAAAACAAATTAGAGTTACCGGCTCTTAAAAGGGCATTCTAAAAAATTGTGTAAGTTATATTCACTACCCCAGCAAATATTTGAAATCTTTCTTTACTTATTTGGCCCTTATTTAGATGCAGCTAGAGAGCACAGGACAGAGTATTGGACTTGGAGTCAAATACAGCCTTAGGCACTCAGAAGGTCCATTAACATTTGTCTGCCTCAGTTTCCTCATCTGTAAAATGGGGCTAATAATAATAGCACCTACCTCCCAGGATTGTGAGGATAAACTAAGAAAATATTTGTAAAGAACCTAGTATACTTTAAAGCACTTATCAAGCTGCAATGTATTGGAGTATGGCTCCAATATTCTACTTTTTAATAACCGTCCTAACTTTCCCCCTCTTCAATTCTACAGTATCCACAAAAGAGGGAGGATAAAATTCTGCCAACTCATATGCAGATGTACTAAATTCCAGTGGCCAGTGGCTTTTATTTTATCCCAGTGAGATGTAAGCTTATTGGCAATTTAGTCAAAACCTGTGTCTACATAATGCCAAACCACTGAAGTGAAGAGTAAAAAATTGAGTCATTTATCTGAATCACTTTTCTGCATGATTCCCTATTACTTTAAGTGAAATAAGCTTCTTCACAAAGTATCAAGAGCCCTGGCACCAGAAAAACAGGAACTGCTTGACCATCTGTCAGGGATGGTGCAAAGAGGGAAGACTGCAGGGTAGCAGAAAGAGCGAGAGAGTCCCAAGATCTCGGTTGGAATCCTGCCTAACTCACTGCGTGACCTTGGGCAAGTCACAACCTCAGTTTCCTCATATGTAAAATAGGGATAATAAAATGCTTTGCAGGGTTATTGTGAAGATCCAATGAGATAATATTTGTAAAGCACTCAGTACACTGCCTAGTACGTAGTAAGTGCTATATAAATGTTAGCTATTTTTAACTTAATGAAGTAGAGTTCATTAAAAAATTATGTTTGAGTTATGTTTTCATTCTTGTCCCCTCCCCTTTTGCAACATGGCCAGTAATGAAAATCAGTTTTGCAAGACTTCATGTGTATAAAGGCTGTCATATTGCCTGCCCTTTCAATAGGTGGGGGAGGGGCTGCAGAGGAGAGAATTTGGAACTCAAAAGGAATAAATGAATGAAAAACAAACAATAGTCTATCACTTCATACACAGACCAGTCACTTCCTAGAAAAACAGTTTGTCTTTACATGAACATTACTTCCAGAATTCGAAATGCCAAATGACTTGCCTGTGTATTCTGCGTAGGAATCTGTAATAACAAAGCTAAGCTGCTATAGTCGAAGTTCTCGTCCAAGGCTATAAGGGATCCATGCACACCACTTTCAAGCACGTTGTTTGCGTACTCTCGAAGTCCAATTGCTTGTATCCAGCGAATCACTCGGTCATTGCTCCACACCAACACATCTAGAAACAGAAGTCAACAATAACCTTGGGAGCAAACTAATAGCTAGACCGGAGCTCTAGTCCTCTATGCATTTCATTTCTTGACTGGTCCCTGCTGTGATAGGAGAGGGATTACTAGATGGCCTCATTCTACCTTTTCCCAAGCAAGCCACGTACTATCACTGAAATGAATTGGGCCACAAACTCTGCTTTTCTTGTTCTTCTACATCTTATGCTGAGCATGCCACTACATGAAGTGTTTTTTACTAGTTGGGTCTCTCTCTTATTTGATTTCAAGCACTTTTATATAAAATGAGGTCCTATTTGAATCGAGATATAACAAATGGGGGCAGCTAGGTTGCGCAGTGGATAGAGCACCGGCCCTAGATTCAGGAGGACCTAAGTTCAAATCTGGCCTCAGACACATAACACTTACTAGCTGTGTGACCCTGGGCAAGTAACTTAACCCCACTGCCTAACCAAAAAAAAAAAGAGATATAAACAAATGTAACATGTAGGTACAACAGCTGTTAACCCAGTTCAGGTTATACTTTCCCAACATTTTCCTTAGAGATGAAGGGAATTCAGCCTTAAATATGTCTTCTGGTGGTATCAAAATGAGGTGAACACAACACACCCTACCTGTGCCCACCTATTGTTTCAAATTATTCAGTGTGTTTGGGATAGTCTTAGTCATTCTTGTATTACACACAATGGAAATTGTTAAGCAACTTACCTGGGATCGCTAAACCTCCCAGGTAAGTTGGCCATTGACAGAAGCTATTTCCAACATTTTTTTTTCTGATGATATTAATTTTGGAGATGCTAACTTTAAAAAAAATGGTACTCTTTGTATTAAGCACAAAACAGGAGTAAATTGCACTTGCTCGAGTCCGTGTGAACTTAGACTGGTGAGATATGGACAGTGGCTAGGGAAGATTATTTTAAAAAGTAAATTCAAAGAACCCTCAAAATACTGTGTATCCTTTGAGCAAGTTATCTTAAGTTAAAGAGTGACCAAAGATGCCATTTATTGAAGGCAACTAGATGGTGCAGGAGAGAGAATGCCAAACTTGAATTCAAATCCTGCCTCAGACACTATCTGTGTGACTCTGGGCATAGCTTTTTGCCTCTCTCAGCCTCAGTTTCTTCACATATAAAGTGAGAATGATGACATGTACCACTCCATATTGCTTTGAGGCTAAACTGAGAGACTATTTGTAAAGCACTATGTAAGTGCTAGCTATTATCCAGCATTTCCCCAAACTTCTTCAGGGATAACTGAAAGCCCCTTTTCCTATCTTATTAATCTAAATCTAAAACTATAACAATTTTATGAGGAGCAAACCATCCCCTCCCAATCTGCAATTTTTTTGGCTACTTTTGACCTACATAGTAAAAGGCTTAGCAACTGATGCCTAGTGTGCCATCACTTTAAATTCAATGTTGGTACATTCTTGAAATGCAATGGCTCTCTCTTCTTTCAGAAGGTTCTTTGACTAAGGTGAAGGCAAATTAACACTTCAGAAAATAACAGTGGTCTGAATCACTGGAGAGAATTGTATATGTCATCAGAGCAACTGTAGAAAAGTATTTATGATCTCATAACCTCTTAAGACATGAGATCATTTGGATATAGTCATGCTCACCCCCTTTCCTGATGCTTCATTCCATTGTCCTAGACTGTCCCACAAAAGTCATAAGTCCTAAATAACAAAATAACATTTGACATGGGACCAAAAGGGTATAACCCTCTCTTCTAGACCTACACAAAATGTCAAGACTCTCAAATATCCATGAGCAAGAAAACTACAAACTGATTAGAAAAACAAACCAAACCAACCCTTCTCTCACCTGGACAAAACCTGTATACTTGTGTTCAACAGCTTTTGTTAGGTCAATGGCAGACTTCCCTTTTGGTTACAACTTTGCGCCATTAATTCTCACATTTCAATTTAACCAAACAATAATGTACTTGAAAACAACCTTCAATTTTCTAGGGGCCCCTAAGTAAAAGGAATCTAAACAATTCAATTTCAATAATGGAAAACCACCCTCTCCCTGCTAAGTAAGGAACCCAATGAAGTGTTAACAAGAAATGCATGGTGTGTGCCTGTCGACTCTCCAGTGAGCCATATGTAGGGAAATAAGTTATCCAGTCATAATATCTTGTATGCAAGACCATCCTAGGAGAACTAACATCGTGGGCAAAGAACTGAGGAGGGAAATAAGCGTTGACATTGTTTATGCAGCTGACAAACACAATTTCAATGCTGTCAGACACTTGATAAGCTTTGAAACAAAATAAAGAATACATAAATCAACAATTACATCTAATTTTTAAGTTCTTTTTTTTTGGTGGGGGGAAGGGAGCATTTGTTTTTCATCAATACAGCATGGCTCCATAAAGGTGAGCTTGAAATCATCATTGCTGTTTATGTCAACTGCTATACCATCAGGAACAAAGAGAAATATGAGTATTAGGAGTCATATGTAGCCTGTATCTATTTTCTTACAGAGTAGAAAGGGAAGAAATACTTAGGAATCATCCCTTTCATGCCTTTTAATTTCTTCCCTCATGAAAACAAGCATTGGTCTCAAATGGATGTGGAATTAGAAATGTACTTTTTCTAGAACCCTATTTTTTTTAAATTTTCATAGTGCTATTTATCATTTAGAGAACCCATTCATGCTATTCTTAACAAAATAAATAACTTGGAAAAATACATGCATTCTATCATTAAAACAAATTGACTCATTTTGTGGTTACAGAATAAGTAGTAGTAACTGGAGGAAGGGAGAGTATCTTAGCATCACATTCTTATAACAAAGCATCAAAAGTAGTTAGAAACCACAGGATAAAATCACAGAATCATCAAAGTAATTGTCCCAAAAGAAGGAAAAACTTCAAAAATCACACTCACATAAAAGGACAAAAAATAAAGTTTCTGGACCTAGCAGTGAAATTATAATGATATTAACCTGGAATAATCTGCTGTAAAAATCATGACACTTCTATCTGTAAAAGAGTGAGTATGGGCTGTGTATCGAATAAACAATGGCTTGAGTACATCTTTAACATCCTGATTACGCGCAATTAACAAATTGAATGAATGGCTTAAGTGCTTCCTGTGAGCCAAGCACTCTGCTCAAAAGAAAACACTAAAAGAAAGAACACTGAATATGCTCCCAAGGCTCAACACTTCCTTTATCTTAATGATCCCTCTTTTTGTTTGTAAATGTAAGAAGTAAAAGAAATGCCAACTGTACTGTTTTGGGCAAGAGATGCTTCACCTTAGGCAACTATGTGGCAAAAGAACAATCAGATGAAAAGTCAGTAAAAGTGGAGTAAAGAGAGAGAAGTTGGTGTCTAAAGGCCTGGTTTAAGTCCTACTCATGTCAAGGAATCACTTCACCTTTCCGGGTGGTAGTTTCCTTATCTGTCAAAGGAGTCTGAACTCCCTAGAATTCTTGTGAGGAAAGCACCTCAGTAACCAAAGAGTTATGTAAATGTGAGTTTAGGAAAATAGGGCACGGATCTTTGATTTTACTGGCATGAGGAACTCCTGGATTTGAAAACTCCCTCTCCCACGGCAGGTCAGCAATTTCTCTGTAATTTATAGCCTTAAAGAGTTGCCAAGAATATTGAGAGATTGTGTGACTTGTCTGGGGTCACCCACCAACGATGTGTCAGAGATGGGACTGAGGCCCAGGTCTTGACAACTTTGAGACCACCTCTCTACTACATCAAGGCCACCTGTCATAAATGTGCTTTACTATTCATAATAATAAAATAGCATACATCTGTATCTCTCTGTATATTTTCTTCATTCCTGTTAATTGTAATATATTCATCACAAACATAACCAGGTGGAATCATAGAGGAGAACATGGCAATGCTAGGGAAAATATATTTTATCTAGATAGAGAATGTCTTACCTTTAATTTCATGTTGACTTGCTTCCCGTCTCCTTTCCAGTTCTTTCCTGTCATAATTCAGCCTCTTCAAGCACATAATTCCATACTGTAAACTTGTTCTGTTGTGTTTTTAAAAGGGAAACAAGCATTCAAAAAGATAAAACAATTGGTTCTTAGCTTAAAAAACAAACAATAAAAGTTATTATCAAGTTTTTGAAGACTTACTCCAGCCAGCCAACATTAAAGTTCTAACAGGCATCACATTCTGCCAAAAGAGAAGACTACCTTACCATGGGAATAGCACATTCACTAGTATGTTTTTTTTTAAAATTCCTTATCTTTTGTGGGGAATGAAATTATAAACTTTTCAAACAAATAATGTAAATACAAATACCAGACAAGTGACTGAAAGAAACAGAAAAAGAGATTGGAAGAGATCTCCAGAGATCATACAAGTCTTCATCTTCCTGCCTTCAGGAAGCTGATTTATGAAATAATTTGGACTGAAATCATTCCCTTGCAATAGTATTTATTGAGCACTTACTGTACTCTTTGAACTCTGCTAGGTGTAGTGGAATACACAAGAGAGATTTAAGAGATAACAGTGGCTGCCTCCTATGAACTTAGTGGGGGAAAAAAAGGAAGGAAGGAAGGAAAGAAGACAGTTAAGTAACAATTTAAACCAGTGTGTAGCTTAGGTGTCCACATGAAATGAATGCTTTGGGTAATAAATGGTATCGGGGCATAGAAAAGGGAGAGAACAATGGAAACCAGGATAATATAGAAAGTACATCAGGAAGGAAGGAGGACTTGGGCCAGGGTGCTAAAAGATAGGAAAAAGAAGGCTTTTTAGTCAAGAGTGATCCAGAAGAGGATATAGGATTTAGATCTTAAAAGAATCTAGCCCAACCTTCCCATTTTACAGATGAGGAAAAGAGACTTGGCCAAGTAAATGGTACAGCTGTGAGTTAAAGCTGGGCATTCTGATGCCCAATCAGCATTCTTTCCACTAAACCATGCTGTTTGGAGTTGAGATTGAGGATGGCATGTTTGAAGAACAGTGTGGAAACCACCCTGGGCCTAAGCAGAAGGCAGTGCTAAGAAGGTTGGGAAGGAAGTATGTGTTTCCATTAAAATCTGCCAAGAATCTAGTGCTTAGCGCAGTGCCTGGCACATATTAGACAATTAATGTTTATTAACAGACTGACACGTGGATAGGATTTGTCTCTCGTGTTCATCAAAATGCATTGGTATTGATGAAGACAATATTAGAGCTCTGTACCTGGAGTCAAGATGACCTGAATTTGAATTTTGCCTCAGTTATTTTCTAGCTGTGTGAACCTGAACAGGTTGCTTGACGTCCCTCAGGCCTGGTTTCCCATCAATCAAGCAATCAATATTCATCTAGGGCTCACTATTTGCTAGACATTATGGTAAACACTGGGGACACAAAAAGAGGCAAGAGACATTCCTGCCCTCAAGGTGCTTACTTATCTCACAAGATAACTGAGGATCAAATGGGATAGTGTATGTAAAATACACTAAGTTGATCTGTGAGTGTTAGTTATTAGTGTGGCATACTACTGGATTTAGAGTCAAGAAAACCTGGGTTCAAATCGTGGCTTTGAAGCATAATACCTCTGTAAACCTTGAGTAAGTCACTTAACCTCCTGGGTTTCAGTTTCCTCATCTTTGAAATGACAGGTTGGATTGGATGACCTCTGAGGTCCCATCTGGATTCAGCTCTATGCTTTTATGACTACAGAGAATAAAAACTTCACCTAAGTCAGATGGCCTTGGTGGGTACACAGATATTCAAAGGTAATTAATTTCCATAAGTCTGCTCCATTATATAGATTCACATCAAAGGGTACCCAAGCTCTCAAGTTCTGGAAAATGTGCATTTGTAGAAATCTTTCAGGAGCATAGTGTAATAAAAAGAATGACACATCTGCAATAGGGAAATTTTGTGTCTGCTGGTTGGTATCCACGTGACCCTCGAACAACTTAACCTCTATGAGTCTCAGTTTCCGCATCTGTGAAATGATGGGATTGGATGAGACAGCCTTTAAGATCCCTTCTAGTCCTAAATCTTTGAATCTCTGAAATAGGTGGTTATGGTGGCAATTTCATTCAATAAACTTTTAAATACTAAATTCAAGTATAAAGCAGGATATACATTCACTTAAGATACATTCACCAAGATATCTGTAAGTGTCATGGAACGTCTTGCATAAGGTTCAAGAAAAAGAATGTCTACTGATGGCTAGGTTCTTTTACACACTTCTGTTGGCAGATGGCATGGGCAAGGGCAATACTAGCGCCTATCTTACAAGCCTGTTTTAAGGATCAAATAGAATACTGTGTGAAAAACACTTTGTGAATCTTGAAGCACTATATAATTACTATTATTATCTTTATCATTAGATTATATTCATTGAATTGAGCCCTAGAACACTATAGTGTGTCATTAGTGAAAGAGATTGTATCCATACTGAGTAAAGAAAATACTATGGTATTTTCTTATATTACCCTTCAGTTTCTCTAATTTATCCATAAACATGTATTTCTTGGAAAAGTATAACAGAATTACAGTGATTAATCTAGTATTGAAAAGAAGAGAGAGATCGGACTGGAAAACATTCGGTCTTTTGCACAGTGCTGCTCTTTAGTACCATGTTCCTAGTGAATTAATTTGAACCATCATCATCTCAAGAGAATGAAAATTACAATAGAAAGATGCTTGGTGGGATTAAGTAGGCTTTAGGCTGTTACCATTGATAATGTGTTTGATATAAATGGCATAAAACATTATCAAGGACACATACTAGCAGAAATGAGGTTGGTTGGTCATGTGGAAATAGAGCTAATAGATAGGTAGTCAAGAGATTAATATGAAGAGAAGCAGGACTCTGCACATTATATAAATCCCTATGGAAAATTGAAGGGGAAACATGGAAAACCATCATAGAGGATGAGGTGAGAAATTATTTTAATTTTGTGAGTGAAGAGAGTTGTAGTTCAATAATTTTTAATCATGTCTAACTCTTCATGACCTCACTTGGGGTTTTCTTGGCAAAGATAACGGAGTGGTTTGCCTTTTCCTTCTCCAGCTCATTTTACAGATGAGAAAACTAAGGCAAACAGTGTTAAGTGATTTGCCCAGGATCATACAGCTAGTTAAATGTCTGAGATGTGTCTTCTTGAGCCCAGGCCTGGCATTCTATCCACTGTGCCACCTAGCTGCCCAAGAGTGGAGAGAGTACTCACACCATTAAAACTTATATTTACCCAAGTGCCAAAGTATGTTGGGAACATGGAGGTGGGAGGGTATAGGCTTTGTTATTTTGACAATGGAAATCCATTCCTTAGAGGGTCTGGTGTAGGGGTATGGTCTAATGACTTATTTTAGCAAGATTGATGTGGCAATATTTCTTCTAAACTTCATCAAGTCTAGGAATGGATCCTTAAAAAGTATGTGAGCAAGTACAAGTGCTTGCAGGCCCTATTAAGTTGGGAAAGATCTTTTTAGAGGTGATGAAGCATATGTCTTTTGTTTGAGAGTAAGCCTGGATGAGTTTGAAGAGGTTCAACAACAGGTTGGACAAAGAGTGTGATGGGATTTTTAGCTAAAGCAATTTTCCAAGATGATCCATTATGAAGGGGATGGGTTACATAATTAAGGAGAAAGTACCCACACTAATGAAATCACAGATGAATGAAATAATGTGACATTAATGTTCAGGATGATTAGAGATGGCTAAAAACAAGAAACAGGGAAACCTATCAGTAGGCTATTAGAGTACTGGGCTATCAAGTGATAAGATCCCAAATAAAGGTGATGGCTGTAAGGACAGAAATAAGAGAGAGATAAGACACTGAAAGACTGTAAAGGGAATGTAAAGTATTTGCTAATGGAACCAGTAAAGAGAATAACAAAGAGACTGTTCATAAAGGAGCCTGAGGTGTTAAGCATGAATTATCATTCACATGGATGGAACACCTAGGATTTTGAAGCTGGGAGGGAGAAAGAGGTTCCAAGAAACAGAACAGTTTCCTTAAAATATATAGGTTACTCATTTTCATAATTAATAACTTATAGTCATCAGGAATAACTATCCTACCTTGTCTGAGTTTTATTCATAATTATTGGACCTTTAGGAATGTAATTTCTACTCCCTTGAGATATGTGTGTATACACACGTGTGTATACATGTATGCTTATAAAAACATATTAATGTGTATATAAACATGTGTGTCTCTATAGATATATGTGTGTGTGTATAATACATATGCATGTATATTGTGCGTGTGTGGATACACACACACATACAGTATTATTCAGTAAGGAAATAAAATTAGCTATTCAGGAATGATATCAACAGCCATACACCAGCAATGATCCTTTTTTATGTCCAATCACGTGGCCTAAGAAGAGGCAGACACAAATCTGAGTGAATTGCTAAGACACAATCCACTATGAAGGAGTTCTGGCATCTACACAGATCTGAGAATGAGAGGATAATGGGGTAAGGAGGCAGGGAAGTGTTATGAGAAGTTGCCTTTGAGAAAGCAGAAGAAAAGTGGTTTTGTCACATATATATGCTTATTCTATTTGATATCATAATTTCTTTCCCTCAAAATAAGTAATTTCTTTATAAAGGGAAAGAAGTAGGGATGTATAGTCTATTCAGTTCACATCTAGAGAGTTATGTTCAGTTCTAGGCAGTCCATGTTTAGAGGGATTATTGAGAATGGAATGTGTCCACAGAAAGGCTTCAAGGTTGGTGAGGTGTCTGAAAAGTTAACAAGCATTTGTTAAACATTTAGTATGTGCTAGATGCTGGAAATACAAAGAAAAGCAAAAACCATCCCTGCCTTCGAAAACCTCATTTCTGCATGGAGTCAACAGCATGTAAATATCTAGCTACATATAAAGTCTATGAAGATTAGATGGGTGGCAATCTCAGAGGGAAAGGCCTCCTGCAGAAGGTGAGATTTGAAGTACATTTTGAAGGAAGCCAGGGAAGCTAAGAGGCAGGGCTGAGGAGGAAGGGCAGTCCAGAGGCACGAGGGGCATTTAGTACAAAGGCATATGAATGGGAAGCCGAGTGTTGTATAAGAGCAACAGCAAGCTGGGTCATAGACTATGTGGATGGGGAAGGCCATGGTCGGAGAAACCAGAAAAACAAAGGGTATTTAACTTAAAAAGGAGAGTTCTTGAGAGTTGCGTTAAATATTTGAGGGGCTACAGCTCCCAAAAGAAGCCTAATCATTTTGTAGGTCTTCAAGGGATCAAACTATGACTGACTGAAAGTTACAAAAGGCAGATTTCTATTCAATCTACTAGAGTGATTTCTAATGAATAAAATTTCTGTGCAGAAACAAAATGGGCTGCCTTGTGAGATGGTGGCTCCCTTGAAGTTTTCAAGTGCAGGCTGAACAGCCACTGGTCATGGTTACTGTACAAGAAAATCTGCATTGGGAAACAGGTTGGACTAGATTACTCCTAAATGCATTTCTATCAGCAATATTCTTTATAATCCACAAAACAACTGATTGCACATATAAATACGTATATTGAATCTAAGAAAGAAAAGGGTTTTGAAATTGTTTGACTTATATTACAACATGATCTCCCCTCAACATGGTCAGATAACAAATGAAGAAACTGCCTCTAAAAATTCAGAACCAGTTATAAATGCATTTGCCTTTACTCTTACCCATCCACTGGGCCTCTTTAAACTTTTCCAATTCTCAGTAGGTGAAAGCTTTACATTGCTAAGCTGTGTATTTTCCATCTATAACTGGATTACATAGCACAGCATCCCACCCCTACCTTTGGGAAGTGGAGAGTGAAAATTCAGAACCAGTTAAAAGACCAGAAATATTTCCTTCAGGGAACAACCCCTTTTTGCTTTCTACTCTTCCAAGATTGTCATAGTCAACTAAAGAAAATCTGCCTTTCTATACTCCAGCATCATTACGTACTTTGCATAGAAATTTTACAAACTTTTGAGGTAGAGATGAATGTATTCCATTTGGTTTAACTTTATAAATAACAGTTGCCCCATTTTAGAAGAAATCAGTAAAACCCCACTGACAATTTCTAGAAGGACTAGGTGAAAAAAAATGAGGCTATGTGTATCCTTGTTATTCTGCACTGAGGAATTGTGTTCTTTTGTTATACAAGTTTTCATCGTGCACTTGCTGAGCACGCACTACTGTCTCAGAGATCAATCTGTTGCCTCAATGTACCCGTGGAAAATGGATGTGTTTTGATGTTCAATATGTCACCTATCCTGCAAATATTGATATTTTTACATACTTTTCTTATAGAAGAATGCACGTTACCCATTTTGATTCCGTTCTGATTAGTCTTTGGAGAAAAAAACAAAACAAAACAAAAAAAAGCAACCTACCTATGAAAGCTATCCACCATTTTTAAATGGACCCGGAGATCTTTTTTCGTCAGGTGATCTAACATTCTTGCATCTACCAGACATTCCATAAAATAACTTCTGTATTGAGGTAATCCCAAGCTGGGAAGCCACTCATTACCAATCCACTCATGATTCATATCACCATAAGCCAGAGTCTGCAGAAAAACAGGACACTATAATTTATTTATAGCAGTCAGTTTCCAAGCCGAAAAACAAGATGGCAATTTTATCACATAACCCATTAAAATGCCCCACTAAACCTAGCTTGTTCATTTCTCATGATGTATGTGAAAAGAGAACAGTTCACTCATAGCTTAACAATGTCTTTCTGTCTTACTTTATGGAAAAGAAAACAAACAAAGATTTCTCCATGTAAACAGAAATGATTACTGACTTGGTTTGTACTTGAAATCTGTGTCATCACTCATCAAAAAAAAAAATCAATCTCTTGATGGTAAGGAAATATGTATGGTCAAATGTATCTCCTAGACTATTAACAAATCCATCTCACTGTGCATCTTGAGTTATGCATTTACAGTCTTGGAGAGATGGGGCTGTATTGAGTTAAGTTGGTCAGTTACACTTCTTAGTACTGTTGTAGAAAAAGAAAACCCTGCAAAATAACCCTTAGGATTTTAACTCCAATGACTGAATTATTTAATGACAAGGAATTGAAATATTCTAGGGAATTCCAACAAAATGCACTACTTTGGGTTTATTATTTACGTGTTTGTTTGTTTGTTTATTTATTTATGGTGAGGCAATTAGGGTTAAGTGACGTGTCCAGGGTCACACAGCTAGTAAGTGTCTGTGGCCAGACTTGAACTCCGGTCCTTCTAACTCCAGGGATGGTGCTCTATCCACTGTACCACCTAGGTACCCCATTTTGGGTTTATTTTAAGCAAAATGAATTCAACTTAACAATCAAAGAGCTGCTCTTTGCAAAGTATTACTGCAAGGCAGCATGTATCTAATAGTAGAGATAACTCAGGCCCTAATTTTGAGGAACTTATAATGAAATGAGGAGATGAAATGTACACAGAAAACACTGCTTGAAAGGAAAAGGGGAGAAATACAAAGGAGAAAGTGAGGTAGAACGCTATCTATGATTAATTTGAGGTAGGAGAGATTGCGTGTGTGTGTGTGTGTGTGTGTGTGTGTGTGTGTGTGTGTGTGTGTGTCTGTAGAGGGCATTCAGGGAGTGACCAAAAAGAAAGGAAGACTTGAATGAAGGAGGTATTTTAACAGATTATAATGGAAGTGCATGGCATGGGAAGGCTTTCCCTCCAGGCCCTGGGGATACTGTTAGGAAAGGAATTAAGATAAAATAAATTTTGACAGAAACAAAAAGAACAGAATGAGAATGGGAGATGAAAAGTAGATGTTTGTTAAAAATGTAGAATGTTGTTGTCGTTGTTTAGATGTTTTCAGTCGTGTCCTACTCTTAACCACCCCATTTGGGGTTTTCTTGGGAAAGATAGTGGAGTGGTTTGCCATTTCCTTCTCTAGCTCATTTTAAAGATGAGGCAACTGGGGCAAACAGGATTAAGTGACTTTCTTAGGGTCACCCAGCTACTAAGTGTCTGAGGCTAGATTTGAACTCAGTAAGATGAGTCTTTCTCAGGTGCTCTATCCACTGTACCATCTACTTGCCCCCAAAATGTAGAATATATAAAGGATGGGATAAAGCTAGGAAATATAGAATAGACTTAGAAAGGTGGAGTGGATTCAGTCTGCAAAGGGCTTCATATGAAAGAATCTTAAGTTTAGTCTTTACTCTTTAGGCAGTGGATGTTATCACCATGGTGCCTTTAGAGACATTAAACAGCAGTGTGAAGGATGGATTGTGCAAGGGTAGAATGAGGCAGAAAGACCAGTCTGCTTATTACAATAGTTCGGGCAAGATGTAATGAGGGCTTTATCTAGTGTAGTCGTGCGGGGAATGTAAGGGGTGGAATGGATGTGATTGCAAAGACAGGATTGACAGAAATCAGAAACTAAATACTCAAAGATGATTTCAAAGTGGTGATGACCTTGGGTGACTGGGAACATGGTGATGGTGATGTCATCAATGGAAGTAGAAGAGCTAGAGGAGGAGAACGTTTGGGGAGGCAGGGCAATGAGGGTTCATTTGCATTTAGATTAGCAGTGGATGTTGGGATGGAGTTATAGATTAAAGAATCATTAACAGAGAGATAAATAGGTAGAATTTCCAAGGAAGAGAAAAGAGAAGAATCTCTTGGGGGTACCAGGTTTAAGGGGTGGGAGTGGGGTGAGAACCCATAACAGGAGACAGGGTCATGATGTCAGAGATGTGGAATGAGGACTATTGGATCATAGGTCTAGAAGTGGAAGGGACCTCCGAAGTCATCTTGTCTTAGCCCCATCATTTTACAGATGAGGAAACCAGGGCCTGGGAGATCAAGTGACTTGCTTAAGTTCACATAGATCACAGAGAGGCAGTATTTGAACCCAGATGCTCTGGCTCCAAACTAGTACTCTTTTGTCTATACCATGCTACCTCCTTTTTTACACTGATGAAGTCATTGGTCTAACCAAAACCAAAATAAACATGTGCTCCTCCCTCATATGGTCAAGGTATGAAATGAGTATTGAAAGCTTCCTAATTCTTATGGTGGTTATTCTGGCTATGCAGATGGTTTTGTGACAAGTGCTTGAAAGTGACAATTCAGTTAAATCTCTTATATCTGCCAGAGGTGTCTGGGTAAGGAATATCTGTAATATATCTATATCTACATAGATATAGATATATGTATACATATATATATATATATATATACACACATGTGTATGTGTATATAGGTATATAAATATATACATCTACATATATATATACATATAGTTATATATGTAAACACACATATATGCACATATGTATATGTGTATATATGTATATGTGTATCTATATACATCTATATGTATACCTCTATTTTTAAAACAATATGCATATTGATTGCTTGAGTCTTGCTGGATGATCAAGTTCCCTTTGGGCAAAAACAACATGGATGATCTAAAGTCAAGCCCATGGGATGTGTTGACTAATTGTCCAGTACTGTGACCAAGATGAGCTTATACAGAACATAGAATCAGGGATCACCAGGCCATAATCCCAGTGTGAATTTCCCAAGAGCCCATCACTGTATGACCACCTCACACCTCACCCTCATTCACCATTCCCTGAATATCCTTTTAGTGTTGAGCAAACTGAACTGGAGAAAGAATATAAGGTTGAATAGCACACATTGAATCCCTGGTCTCAAAATGAATAAATGAACTCTGCACTGAGCAAATGGTTTAAAAATCTAAATTAATGTTCTCAGCTAAAATATTATACAGGCCAGCACTTTACAGGTACTGATCACTTAGAAATTGTCTTATGACTGGAAGTCACTAACTGTCCCCTAATAAATATATTTTCTTTTAGAACAATCTGGTTTGGTAAATGTTTCTGCCTGTAATGAGGGAATATTTTAAAATATATGTGCTACCATTTTCAACTTGTATAATGAAGTCAATATTTTGCAGTGTTTATGATGCTAAAAAAAAGTACTGTGTCCTTGTCCGTATTTTTTGCTAATTCATGTGAATTTCTATGAATAAACTATTGCCTTAGGTGAAGTAAATTTTAACATAACTTCATACCTGGGCCCAGCTTCCTTCCTCAGATTCTTTCTGTGTTAGCAGAAACAGCATGTAGTCATTAGTAAAGCAAGGAAAAATGAAATATATCAAATTAGTCCAGGGGTAAGAAATTCAACAATCATGATCATTATGAAAAAGTTAATAATTCTAATATATACACAGATGATTACAGACACAGATTTGTTTCTCATAAGAGCAGTGGTCAATTAAAAGGAATTCCTAAGGAATTAGATTTTTTTGGCACATTTTCACACCCACAAAACCATGCTGGGCTTTCATGATTTTGTGAAAATTTGTGTTTGCCATTTCCAAATTTTGGCTACTATTTCTGAGGAAAACATATATCTTTCAATATTTGGTCACCAAAGAATTTGGGGAAATTAGCATTCATAAGAAATTACTGAATTTGAACAAGAGTATTTCTGTTGAAAAATCACATACAGTGAAACACTTCATTTTCAAAATCATCTAATAGTAAGAATCTGCATTATCCATAATAAGATTTTTGACTGGATAACATACATATATCACAGTGTTCATGGCAATTCCTCAGTTATTAAGTGGTTAACAAGTCTGTGTTAAACTCTTCTTGAAATTATAAACAGTAACAAAAAAAGGTGAGGTTCAGTTGTTAAAAATAATTACAAAAATTCCACCTTTCATATCTTTAACTGTGGAATTAACATACATACAATTCAATTTATAAAACTGTGTTCTAAATCACTCAGCCATGAATTACTATGCAATTTAAAAAGGAGTAAAACAAAAACTTTACACTGATTCTAGAAACAAGAATTGTAATCAGAGCAGTGCCATCAGGGCCTTGCTACCAGGAAACCACAATGCAGAGGGCATGGAGGGCTCTTCCGGTTCCTTTAGCATCCTCGAAATAATTAAGCTTAGCATGGTGTTAGCAAGAATAATTAGTTAAAATAGGAAGCTACCAGATGGTATGTTTTCACACCAATACTATAAATATAGCCAAGATAACCAAGTGAGAGAAACCACATGAATATTTTATATGTCTTGTGCTAAAAATTTACTCTGAAGCCCTTTTTAATACAAAAGGCTAATGTGGCTCAGTTCCTAACTAACAGTCCTAACAGTCGATTGCCAGCACTGGGCATGATTAAAACCATTATTACTAATTAATTCAAGGTGATTTTTAATGTTCTATAATTTCTAATAGCATCTTTCATGGTTCATGACTCTTGAAACTATTAATATCGGCTTTTTTTTTTTTGGTCTTAAGATTGAACAAAACCAAAAATACTGACCGTTTTGGCTGGAGCCGCAAGGTTTTCCATTTCTTCATGGGTCACCCAAACATTGCCTGAGGGCTAAGGACAAAGCCCACAGGGAAGTAGGTAGAATCCACATTAGGTAAGCAGTGGTAAAGAAGAAAGGCAGCACCACTGTAAGTCAACAGCGGATAGCATCACCATCAACATAGCTACGTTCTTGCCTCTATAGTGAGCATGACATGACATAGAAGTCCACAGGGCTTTTAAAAATCTTTTATGTTTAAGAAGACTAAGCAATAAGGGACGTGCCATTTATTCTAAGTAGATTCAAAACCAATGTTCTCTTATTATTAATCAGGAAAAGGAAGGGATATGCTTTCATTGACATAGGGAACTCCCAGAGGAGAAAACTCCATCTACCAATGTAGACTGTCACCTTCTCTTCAATTTATAGTTGCTCAAGGTAACTGTCTTATAGAAAGAATAAGTGACTCCCCCAAGGTCACACCATCAGTAAATAAAGAGGCCAGGCTGGAGTCCACGTCTTCCTGGTCCCAAGACCAGTTTTCTAACCATTATGCTACAGTTGCTTCTCCAGAAAAAAGGGAAACAAAAAAACAAACCATGAATTACAAAACAAAAGCAAAAAAACAAAAAAAAAACACCAACCAATTAGCTCTATTTTCTGGAACAACAGAGAACTGACCCAGGGTGTTAGATATTCTTATAAAGCCTTTTTTTGTAGGTGATAGCACGTAATACTCTATAGTGTTATAGAAAGTCATGTTAAGTACCAATATTGTTTTTAGAAAGAGAATATCAAGAACAGGTATATATCTGTATACATGACATGGTATTAAACACAGAACTTTTATCTTGATAATTTTTTCCTTTTGCTATTTCTTAAATACATAGCAAGGTGGTACGGTGGATAGAGTGCCAGCCTGGAGTCAGGAAGACTCATCTTTCTAAGTTCAAATCTGGAGACACATCTTGCTGTCTCCGGGCAAGTCACTTAACTCTTTGCCTCAGTTTCCTAATCTGCAGAATGAGCTGGAGAAGGAAATGGCAAATCACTCCAGTATCTTTGCTAAGAAAACCCCAAATGGGGTCATGAAGAGTCAGACATGACTGAACAACAATGAAATAAATAACATTCGTATATTTTGTTTTTAATGAAAAAAATCAATAAAGGCAATGTTTTGCTTAAAAAATTATCTGTGTTTTGTTTAAATGTCTTTGTAAGAAAATACAAAATTTTTATTTGTTCAGTCATATTTCAGTCATGTTCAAGGCTAATAAAGGGCAAATCATTTGCTCATGGTCACATGGCTAGCAAGAGTCTGAAATGGATTCAAACTCAGGTCTGACTTCAAGTCCACTTAATTCACTTTCCCCTCTAACTAGACCTCAAGACTTGAGCAACACTGAAGAACAGTCTTCTTAGGAGGCAGAATTCTATTAATTTCACTTGTTTTTTAAAGCTACCTTCAATTAACATGCATTCTATAATTAGATGTTTTGTAGTTTCTATAAATTTAGGGGAATAGGACAAACTACAGAGAAGTTCATAACCGGAATCAATTCTCTAAGTGATTCTATTTCATTGTAAACTTTCTAGAAATCCAGAGACATTCCCCAAACTCTACGTTATACCCATGTAAATACAACAGCCTTTGCTCAACCTTTAACCATTCCGTTGCTTGGTCTTCCCAGTTCTGCAAGGTGGTCAGCACTGTAGGATTCTAAGGACAAAGGTGTTGTCAACCCAATTCACCAGCACAGTTCCCCTATATCCTTATACCTCTGATCTATAAAGCCTTATGAATAATCTAATTATAAACATTTTTTTATTAGGCACCTACTCCCTGATTAGTCTGTCCATTAAATTGGCTGGAATAATAGCATTGGAAGAAAATACATTTTTAAATTTTGTCAGATATTAAAAAAAAATCTGAAAACTGGGTATGCATAATCACAGATGATAATTTGATTTAATTGAACAAACATTTATTAAGCACTTGCTTCATTTCATATGTTGTTTTAACTTTGGTTATAAAACAAAAAATGAAAATGGTTCCTTCCCTCAAGGAGCTTATATATTAAAATGACAGAAGAATATGTGTCAGAGTTCTTGCCCCTGATCACCCACAAATTTCATAATGTGCTTAAATCCCATTCATTTTGAGAGAAAACCAAAAGAAAATTTATTTTTAGAATCGAGAAGGCATGAAAAGTTATTTGTTTGTTTTCTTGGCTTATAAAGTCATATTTCTTTTAATAAATATGAAACTTTTTTCCATCAAATGTCAGCCTGAATATTTGAAATATTAAATCATTTGGAAGAAATGGATTTTATAGACTATCTTAGGAGTGCAGACTATACTCACTCAGCTGTCACTTTCTTCTTTCCACCCAATGATCTCCATTATTTGCCTGAGTTATTTTATTTACTGTTTGTTCAAAGTGCCCTTCACTGATTACTTAAGAGAAAATTAGTTTAATCCATTCTTGGTCTACATGTTTGTTGAACCAATGTCTTAACCAATGTCTTTAGATCCCAAATAGTGAAGATGTTGTGACCTCTCTGACAAATGCTAGGCTAGCACTGTGGAAAACTACATTTTCCTTAGAAGATCCTCAAGGAAGAGCCTAGGTTCATTTAAGTGGAGGTTAACAAAGGACCAGGCTAGATAACCGCCTTCTTCCAGTCTTTCCAAGTAAAGTCAAGTATATAACTGAAGCAATTCTTGAATCACAGATAACCAACTTTTATAATAACAGTAGAATAATAATAACTCACATTAATATAGGACTTTAAGGGTTGCAAGCTCCTTGATAGATATGATTTCTTTTGAGCCTTAACATCACCCTGAAAGTTATCTCCATTTTACAGATGAGAAAACTGAGGGTCAGAAAGATTAAGTCTTGCTCAGTGTCACAGGGATGCAAAAACCGTAAGGTGGAATTCCAAATGTGATGCAGTGGAAAGACTACTAGCTCTGGAGTCAAAGAACCTGGGTTCAGATTCTACCTCTGACACTACCTGTGTGACCTTATATAAGTCATTGGCCTTTCCTGTACCTGCATGCCCTTGTCTGCCCTTGGACAGATGGATTCTGAAATTTTTTCCAGTGCTTCATCTGTAATTTAATGACTTTAGCTCCAGCTTTATCTGTAATACTGGGTGGCCACTCTAACTAGGGTCTGAAGTTACTGACCCTAATTCTTCAACTGTACTCACAGGTTGGAGGGAAAACAAGTAACTGGACAACCTATCAATGCTCCAGGCACCAGGAAAGTCCATCACTCCCTCTGTTGTACTAACTGGACATTCCTAGGATTAACAAATTCATTAACTTCTTAAAACAAATACTTTATGCTTCTTCTGAAATCCCTTAAATGTTATGATGAAGGTTAAGTCAATCCCAATCAGCTGGAAGGTGCTTCTCACCTTACTTTCCTGTAGCTAGAGCACTGAAGGATAAAGTATGAAGTCAGTCTAGGGTAAAGGTCTGATTTGAGAGGATGAGGAAAACAGGTCAGGAGGAGATACTGCAGCTGGATGGCCCCAAAACAACACTGGGCAGCTGGGGCAGGTGACAGGAAGACGGGAATAAAGTACAGGCAGGGCCCCACCACCAAACTCCTCCTGCTTGGAAGTGCTCGGGGCTCTGGCGGCCAGCAACAATCAACGCCATTTATTAAGCGTTTGGTTTTTGTCCAGTCATTTTCAGTTGTGTTCAACTCTTTGTTACATTCCATTTGGGGTTTTCTTGGGAAAGATATTTGCCATTTCTCTCTCCATCTCATTTTATAGATGAGGAACTAAGACAAACAGGTTAAGTGACTAGTGCAGGGTCACAAAACTAGTAAGTGTCTGAGGCCAAATGTGAATTCAGGAAGATGACTCTTCCAAACTCCAGGCCTGACGCTCTATCTATTGCACCACCTAATTGCCCATATATGTGTTTAGTAATTACCAGATCTTACAAACCATATAGGAAAACAGTGAACCTTTTTTTTTTAAACATTCCAATGATTAACAATTTGAAACAAATAAATCCAACAAATCAGAGGTGATGACACGTCCCAGAAGCCAGAAAAGTGAGGAAAATAGATTTTTATCTTGCCCTTTATTATTATTATTTTTATCAAATGCATCTTAGCAAAAGTGATTTGTAAAAAGAAAGGCTCCTTCTAGGGCTATATCCCAAAGAGATCAAACAAATGGGAAAAGGACCCACATGTACAAAAATATTCATAGCAGCTCTTTTTGTGGTGGCAAAGAATTGGAAATTGAGGGGATGCCCATTAACTGGGGAATGGTTGAGCAAGTTGTGGTATATGAATGTAACGGAATACTATTGTGCTATAAGAAATGATGAATAAGCTGACTTCAGAAAAACCTGGAAAGACTTATATGGTTTGATGCTGAGTGAAGTGAGCAGAACCAAGAGGACTTTGTACACAATAACAGCCACGTTATGCGATGACTAATATTGTTAAACTGAACCCTTCTCAGCATTACAAGGATCTAAGACATCTCCAGAGGCCTTGGATGGAAAATGCTGTCCACATCCAAAGAAAGAACTATGAAAGTCGAATCGCTTTCACTTATTTTTACCTTCTGTTGAGTTTTGTTTCATTTTTCTGATGGTTCCTCCTCTTGGTTTTAATTTTTACTTACAACTTCACTAATGTGAAAATATGTTTAATGGGAATGTAAGTGTAAAGCCTATATCAGATTGTGTGCCATCTTGGGGAGGGTGAGGGGGAGGAAGGGGGAGAAAAATTTTCAGCTCAAAAGCACGTGGAAGTGATTATTGATAAATCAAAATAAATTAATAAAATTCAAAAAAATAAAATAAAAAGAAAGGCTCAAAGTCTGAGTGTCAGCCAGCAGGGAGGGACAGAGTAAACCAGAGTTTACTCCAAATAAAACCCTGAGTATATCTGATTAATGCTGTACAGTTAACATTTAGAAATAATACTAAGGTGACATGTTGTCATATGAGAATTTTGAAGAGAAAATTTTAGCGGAATCACTGACAAAAAAAATAAACACTTTCCTCATTAAGTCATAGGTGAAAGAGGCAGCAAACCAAAATAAATCTTCAAAGAGTTTATGGGATAAGAACCTGTTAACTTATGAAAGTTAATTAGGAGCAAAAGAAAGATTGAAAATAGCCAGATGTCATGAGAATGACAGAAAACAGCTGTACCTAAGGACTGTCCAGAACACTAACCTAGATCACAGGGATTTTTGTCACTCTATCAGTAATGCTGGGACATTCTGACTTATAACTTGGTTTTTGATATTTCCCTGGTTTTGTCAGGGTAGTTTAAAGTATTCATCAAAATAGGCTTTACTTTATTGGATTTTTTTTGTTCATTATATGTTAATTCTATTAAATCTTTCATGTATATGTACACATGCATATGTGTGTATGTGTGTATAAATATGTACATATATGTTTATGCATATATATACATACATATATATATATATATATATATACAAGCATATATTGTGTAGCTCTATAAAATCCTGTATTTTATCTTAGTAGAAATTATGTGAACAAAAACTGAAAGAAATCTGAACAATGGTTCAGAATGCTGATTGGCAGAAAAAAAAATGAGAACCACCAATATAACAAGCAGCCCATTGAGTCCATACCACAGTGAAAGTGGTGTTCTCATGAACTTGGCCTGCTTCCTCTTCCTCAATGAGTCCCACTCTTGCAACATGAGTAGGAATCTCAGTCCAGGCCTGAAGTGCTAGGCTGGCCCAGAGATGAATTTTGTCCATAAAAAGTAAAAGCAAGCCAATGAGTTATTTTGACCATTATAAATACCCAAATTAACTATAAAGGACATATGAAGAAAGATGCTATCTGCATCCAGAGAAAGAACTGATAAATGGAAGTAAGTATAGAAGAATTTTACATGTATCTATATATACATATATGTATATATGTATGTAGACCTATTTGTGTCTAATGGTAGCCATCTCTTGGGATGGTGGGGGGAGGGAAGAAAAAAATAAATTTACATGATAATTTTGTTGTATATTTGAAAAAATAACAAGTTGTGCAAAGTAGGTTTGCAGTTTCATGTGTAATCATCTTTTTTTTAATTGTACTATGTTACGGAAATACTTGTTTTATTCCATAAATTGAAAAATAAAATAAAATAAAAAGCAGACAAGACAGCCAAATAAGGCACTTGGTTCTGAGAAATGCAAAGAAATCATATATGTTTTTGAAATCTAGTTTTGCCTTATTTAAATTGTGAATAATTTATGTTTTGAATTATGGCTTTCAGGCTGTGGTTTTCACTTTTCATAGCTGGTGTTTTCTTGAAGAGTTATACGTAAATTAAACTCTAAAAAAATCAAATTACATTTGAAAAACACTAGGGGAACTTACTGTTTAAAGGAACCCCTTTTAAGTCCAACTCACAAAAGGAAATAATTATTTGGCATTTTATCTCTTTAAAGATATTCTTCTTTTTCTACTACTGCCACCACCACCACCACCACCACCACCACCACCACCACTACCACTACTACTAATCAGTCATTTTCTTGTGGATACAGTGTGATACAGTGGAAAGAGCATTTGGCTTTGAGGTCAAAATACCTAGATTTCAAATTTCATCTCTGATTTTTATTAGCTATGTGACCTTGAGCAATTCACTTACTTTCCCTGAACCTCATTTTTCTCATTGGCAAAATGTGACACTTGGATTAAATGATCTCTAAAGTCCTTTATAACTCTTTATCTATGAACTTTTTGGTATCACTCTCGATGGTTAACAAAATGCAAATCTCTTGGACACGATTCTCTTGCTACAAGAGAATTCAAGTTCCTTTAAGGCAAGAACTAGTTTGTTTTTTCTCTTTGTATCCTACATACCACACATATTACTTAGCATTTAATAAATAATCAGTTTATATTACTGGATGTACTTTAAGGAGTGCTCCTCAAGATAACAGTGCCCAGCTTCAAAGTGCATGAAAACCTCCCAATGTAATATCTATCTCAGTGGATATCTGCACACTTACCTCCATGTAGATTACTCTTGGGATGGCATACCTGATTTTATTTTAACTTTACCCTGAATTATATCATTTAACTTAGTTATACAGGGTGGCCATAACATAAAAGAGAACAATGATGCAACTTCCACAGTTCAGTGGAATGAACACTGTTTCTGTATTTAGAAAACCTGGGTTCATATCCTACTTCTGAAAGTCATTTAACTACCAGGGGCATCTGATTCTTCAACTGTTAAAAAAAGGGGGGGTGGTGTACTAGATGGTCTGTGAAGTCTCTTCCTACTACATAACTATGATTTTTTTTCTCTGACTTTTTTTTTTAGCAGAAGTTCAAGTTATAGTTTGAAAAAAAAAGACTTCTAGATCCTTTAAAAGTTCCCATCTCTAAGACTAGAATCTAGCCTTTGGGGAAGAGAGGGAAACAAATGATAAAAATAGATACTTACAAAGTCTATTTTAAGCTGATATATAAACATCTACAACAAAAGATACTTTCTCACTCAATGTTTAGTCCAATAGACAGTACACTGAGCTCGGAATCAGAGCTAAGTTCAAAATCCAACTGTGATACTTTCTAGTTGTGTTACTATAGCTAAGTAACTTAATTTCTTTGAGCCTTATCTGTGCTCTTCTGTACAATGGCAAGAGTTATACTTATAATACCTATCACATAATGGGGATAGTTGTATTTATAATACCTACCATACATAATACCTATCACATATGAAGCACAAACTAAGGAAAGTATTTTATAAACCTTAATGTAGCATTTTTGAGCATTAGTATTACCTGAAAAATAAAATTCAATCACACCACTTGGAGTCATTGGTCCACGATACACATTTTTCTTATTCTTAACTACTGTACTATGGATAAGGAAATGTCAAATCACTCCAGAATTCTTGCCAAGAAAACCCCATGCATAGTATGGCCCATAGGATCATGAAGAGTCTGACATGACTGAACAATGAACAACAATATTTTAGGAGACTCTGGGTAGCAACTGTGATGTGAATCTCTCAACTATGATTTCAAATCATCTAATAATCCACCAGAGTGTCACCTCTTTGAGAGCAAGGACTATCTTTTTGCCTCTTCTGCATCCTCAGCCTATGTATAATAACTGGCACATAATAAATGGTTTATAAAGGCTTACTGACTGACCATAACTTCTGAAAAGGCAAACTTAGGCGTGAGCTAAAAAGAAAGATGGCTTAGCATCTGGAATGCTATGGGTGGGGACTACTATTTAAAATATGGTGCCATGGGACATGTCCATGGTGCCATGGGCCATAAGATAATGGATCAGCTTTTATTCTGTCTACAATTTCTAGAGATTTGTGCTTACTGAAGTTTTCCTGAGTGTCTGAATTTGCCACCACCCTTTCTTTTTATTTGGCCATATTTAAACATATACTGTATTTTGGGAGTATACGAAAACATGAAGGAAGCTTAGAGGCTAAAGAAGAAAAATTTTAAAAACAAATTATGAAGAGACATAATACAAACTAGTAATTATGAAAAATTAAATCTGGAAGTATCTTTATTCATCCTCAGGCAAACTGCTTAAATGAGAAAATAGGCCATATAAATGATTCATCTCCTATTTGGAAGAAAGCATTGACCTTAGGACAATTGTGCATATAGAACATGCTATGAGGGAAGCTCTCTTAAAAATGCTGTATTTGGATTATGTGAAAGAGGGAAGCAAGCATCTCAGTTAACCATCTAAACTTTCTGGTGATTATTCAAATGCCCAGATCTTTTGGAATTTTCTCAATCACTCTTAAAATACCATAGAATACTCAGTTGATAAATGTATCCTTCCAGTCTGATAGGAAAGATGGCTCCATACAGGAAAACTTATTAAAAGTAGCAGCAAGGTTAATGAAGTGCAAGCTTCATCTCTTCAGAATAATTCAAACTAATTTGGAAGGGTGTGTTATCATAGCTTCCCAGAGCAGACTTCAAAATGCCAGCGCTGTTTAACACTGGAGTGGGAGAGGAGACAAGCGGAAAGTGACTCACCGTTCGAGACGTAGGGGGAGCGGATGGGCTTGTTAGGGAAACCATCTCCTGGATTGCTAATCGGAGTTTCAGGCGATGCAGAGGGTTGCTGATTCCTATTTCTCTCTGGATCTCTGTGTCTGACAGAGCTGACATGATAGCGCCACTCTTGACATTGGCCCGACAAGCTGCAACGTACCAGGCAGGCATTCCCAACCACAGCTATGGGATAAGGGAAAGGGTGAAATTAATAATTACAAGCATCCAAGTTTCTCTTTTAATTGAGCTCCTCCCAAACTGGTTGGAATAAATAAGACTCTTGTTGAAAATCTTCTTCCTGGGTGACTGTGAGCAAGTCAATATCTTGGGGCTTATTTTCTCTTTTATTAAATGCAGGGGTTGGCCAAAATGCCCTTGTGGTCCCTTCTCCTTCCACATTTATAGTCCTGTGATCATGAAGCTTCCTCTCTGATGCTGCAACAACTTGAGGAAACACAGAGAATTCCAGATAATTCAGTTCTATGAGCATGGTCCCTTTGCATGGAAATTCACTAGATTAACATAACAGAATTATAAGACTGGGGCCTACATTGACATAAAGTCCTGCAAAACTGACATTAACAGAAACCGTAAGATAGCAAAGCAGCCCAGTCTAGTGGAAGGAATACCACATCTGTAGTCAGGAATTCTGTCTTTTCCTTGCTACCCACATGATCTTGAGAAAATCATATAACCACTCTGGGTTTGGGTTTAATGAATCCTTAAGCAGAAGTTCTTAAGATGGGGTATGGAAGATCATTTTATCTTTAATATTTTGATAACTGTATTTCTATACAATTGGTTTCATGTGTAATCCTATACGCTTTATTTTGTGCCCTTAAAACCATTATTCTGAGAGGGTGCTTCATAATCAGTTCTCCAAACTTTTAAGTTCTTACAACTTACATCTTGTACTATAATCAGGATGAGGGAGGAAGAGAAAAGAAACCTAAAGGGCTGCCTTACTCATCAGGAAGAATGAGATCCTTGACGGCAATTAATTCCAGTAACAGCGAAGGGAAAGGAAATCAATAGTCAGTCAACAAAATTTATTGTCTCCTACCTTCTGGGCATTCTGCTAGGCCATGGGAATACAAAAACAAAAACTGAACCATTTTTGTCCTCAAGGCACTTATATTCTATGAAGGACACATATTACTGCCAGGACAAGAGGATATGACATGAGGAAATCTACTGTACGTGGAACAGTTAGTAAAATCAGGCTCTTGGCTACTCTCTTATGGATTTCTATTTTAAAGTGGGAGATGCTGTCTGATATTCTGAAATGCATGAGAATCGTGGGAAAGTGGGGCTCAAGATACAGAAATGTTGCTGAAATGTAAACCTTTGATTTTGGCAAAGTGTAATGTAACTGGATGATTAAACTAAGTAAGGGATTTAGACAGAGTTGGAAAAAAAGTAATTAATTGACATGGCATCATCAGAACTGGAAAGTTTCAGACAAAACTGGAAAGATCTCTCTGAAGTGAAGCAAAGTAATCAGATGCTTCATGATATGTCTCAAATCATAAAAATGAACAAGCAGAATGAATGACCGAAGTAATACAGTGCGTGTTCTTAGCTTTTTGCCCCAATAACCTTCAGTACAAATTCAGTTGTGAATAACATGTGCAAGTGAGTTCCAAGTTGGCTCTAATTCATCCATGTTTTTTATGATTTCTACTTTGACAACAACCTTATAAAGAAAAGCTTTGAAATACTTTAGAACTCTAGTTCTAAATACTTTAGAACTCTAGTTCTACTTTAGAACTTTAGTGACAAACCATAATTTCAGAAGTCCGAAGATGGCCATGCTACCCACTTCCTGCCAGAAAGATGATGTGCTTACAATACAGAATGAGACATACGTTTTTGGACATGGCCAAGAAAGAGTTTTGTTTTGCTTGATAATACATATCATGAGGGAATTTATTTTTATTTATTCATTTTTTTTATTGTTCAATAAAGGAAAGTAAAACAGAATGAAGAGAAACATAAAGGTCCATTTTTTTTTAAATAACTAATTGAGAACCAGGAGCCTTAGGCTAAAATCTAGGATGTCAGATTCCAACACAGATTTAGCACTGGAAGGGGCCTTAGACATCACCTAGTCTAAGACTCATTTCAGAGATAAAGAAACTGAGACCCAGTTTGCAGAGGTAATAAAGAAAAGAACCATGGTCTGAACCTAGGTCTTTTAACTTTTGTCCTTCCATTTTTATAATTCTATCCTAAGTGATGGAATGGAGTTAACCCACATCCTGGCAAGAGGGTGTGTGTAATGAGACAGATTTTTTTGGGTATGACCAATTGCTTTGATTGACTGTGCTTATTTGTTGCAAGTTCTCCCCCTTCTTCATTCCCTTTTTTCTCTAAATTTAAGGATGAGACATGATGGAAGGAAGAGAAAATAATTTTTGCTAATTGAATAAAATATTAAAATAACTGTATCCTTCCATAGCTCTATCACTGTCCCCTCAATTATCCAGTCCTGAGATTCATACCATCTTTCTGCTTTGCCTTCTGCATTTTGTAATATTAACAGGCTTACCCATCAAACCCAAACTGCCTGATTTGACCCTTGGCGATTCCACCATTGGGTCCCTAAAGCAGTTAGTCTGCTCTGACTGATGAAGTGTAGCAATAAACACTTATGTCATAGACGGTCATGCCTTTTCATAAATGTCACTCCTGAGTATCCTTTGAGTGTTTTTTTTTTTTTGACATGGATGAATTAGAGCCAACCCAGAACTCACTTACACATGTCATTCACAACAGAATTTGTACTCATGGATATTGGGGTCAAAAGTTAAGAACACTCACTCACTGTATTACTTCGGTCATTCATTCTGCTTGCTCAATTTTATGACACATCATGAAGCAATTATAGGCCAATTCCCAGATGCTCAAGGTAGGTTTAATTATTGAAAACTGTGCTGCCTGTCATTTCTTAGCACATTAATGTCAGTTGATGCCAGAACATTTTTATACTGAAAGATTCACCCCTCATCTCCTCAAGTAACAGTCTTCTCACTGGCAATCTTGAGAAATTTTTAATCATAATGAAAGAGAAATGTGAAATAAACAAACAAAAAATGAAACTAAAGGAACCACTGTCATTCTTTTGAGGTTATCTGGTCAAATATGCTGTCAGGTAATTGATTTTAAATATAGTAAATTCAATGACCAGTTTGAAAAGTAAGCCAATCCCTGACCACAAACACGAAAACATTTGCTGAAGGATTAGTACTGACTGAATTAAGTCACAGGCATCATTTGCTCAGTGCAAGCAGTTTTCTTTGTCTGCTTTTGTAAAGAATTAAATAGGTTTTTTTAAAAATGAGTTTTAATTTTTCCCTGTGGACAATACTAAACTTGAGATGTTCCAAAATGATTTAAAAAGCTGAGTTGGGCTGCTTTATATGCCCAAGGAGTAGGGATGGGGCCTGTGATTTCACTAACAAAGGAAGTTCACATTGAGGAATTTCTTCTGCCATGGCACGGTATTATACCTGCAACTTAGAATGCCTACAACAAAGAGATTAAATAGTTGGCCCATGGTCACACAAGACAGTATGAGTAAAAAGTGGAACATGATTCCAGATCTTTCTTTCTGTCTCTACCAGGTCTCTATCCACTGGGTCAAACTGTCTCACCCAAGAACATTCACAAATCCCAAAGCCATCTGTTGGGGGAAAAAAATAGTTTTCTGCTCTTCAAGAAGAGGATAGTATCACAAAGCTCAGAGAGCAGAACGACCTTGCCGCTCCCATAAAATCCAAAGCTTCTAGGCTAGAGGTAACAAAATGTTGTTAATGAGGCATGTGAAAGTGAATCCTGGGCTTAGCAAAATCACTTGTGCTGGAGTAGTTGATAGCACCCCAATCAGGGAGACAAGGCCAGGGAGCAGTGGAGGCCAGAAGGCAGCAGCTACCCCCAAGAGAGGGCACAAGTCTCTCACTCTGGGCCAGAACTGATTAATTTGTGTGTTAGACTGTTACAATTTGTGTGTGGTTATTCCCACTGCTTTTGTAAAGTTGTTTAACTTGGAAGGAGAAAAGAGTTCGGTTCTAGGCACAGATGCAGTTCTTCAGTATTGTAGAAGGACAGCAAGGAGAAAGGTTTTGACAGACGCTATCATCTGACAGTGAATGATGGCAACTCCCAATTGTTCTATTGGTCCAGCTTAGAAGAGATACCTTTGACTTGACTGCCCTTCCTCGGCATTCTTTTTTAGCACAAGATCTCAGGGACTTTAATGATCATCTGGTCCAACAGCCTCACTTTAGAGATGAGGAAGTAGAGATGCAGAAAGATGAAGTAATTTGCCTAAGCTAATCTAGAGAAGGAAATGGCAACCACTCTAGCATCTTTGCCAAGAAAACACCTGATAGGCTCATGAAGAGTCGGATATGACTGAAACAACTGAACAACAATAGCTACAACAATGGAAATAAATATGAAAGCAACGGTCAAAGACCCCCTGACTCCAAATGTAGTGCTCTTTGATTATATCAAGCCCAGGGACAAATAGAGGGATGAACTCTCTAGACACCTCAGAGTAAAACTTGAACATGAAACACTTGGCTCCCAAGAAACATCTAGGCAAACAAAAACATCTCTCATCAATATCGGCCAATTCCTTGGCAGTCACAGAAACTGCAGTTCTCAAGGAGAACCCCTTTTCTGCCCCCTTCAATGGGCTTGGGCTTTGAGGGTCTTTTTACTTTATCAATCTACTTACCTCTAGCCATGCAACTACTGTGGGCCCATCCCACTGGGCAAAAGGCAAACCCTTTCTTCGAGCTTCTTCCAAAAGTTCATGCCTGAAGCATAAATAGATTGCAAATTGTTAGCTGTGGAATATGGAATGAGATTGCTATAATTACTGAAAATGGCAACATTAACACAAATCACTAATCTCCTTTACGAATCCTCGTGAAAAACTACCGAATAAAATGTCTTTCATCTCTTGAGCATACGACTTTTGACACATAGTTCTCTTCCTAGAAATAGAACATTAGGTTTTAACTGGCATAGATGAAGCATCATTTTTTTCTGATTAATTCACTGTCTGTAGCAATAAATGCAGATTGCTAAGAAACTACTTTTTTTGCTATACCTAACATACATTTGACATAAAAATCACTTATATGCATCAAGTATATATTAAAGTTGAAGATGCTACATCTGGAAAAATTCAGTCTTTGATTTATGAATAACAAATTCCTAGAACCATTTTTGAACATAATCTGTCACCCATCTTAAGCAAGACCTTAGGCCTCAGTTTCGTGTATCAGTACCATAAAGCGCTGATTCAACTCCTCCACTGGGCTGAAATACAAGGTGTGAAATTTAACATGCTCATGTTTACACATACTCTTAGCCCTTTAATGGAAGTCAAACTCACCACTTCATAATAACCAAATGATTGTCTCTAAGAATGATTTAACAATAAAGCCTTTACTGATGCTTTGTAAATTGTTCTTTCCTACAGCAGACAGTATTTTGTCCTCAGCCCTGACCTTAATTTCCATAGAATAGTTTGAAAGGGTTCATTGCTGACCTAGTAAGTACATCATTTCATAAAACTGAAATCAATCCACATTTGATTCATTCTCCAATTTAAAACATATTCTGTGTTCCTTAGAGTTCTTCCCCACAATACTGAATGATATTAAATGTGCTCTAAATTAATTTACTTACACTTTAACTCTGCTTTCCAAGTTGAGATTTAAGGTATTTTAAAAAATAATACTGCATCTCTATTATACAGACCCCTCAAAATAAAAGCATCTGTAGATAAATGTAGTTATGTAAATAATTATAGTATAGCATTCTAGGCACGTTAATAAAGCAGAAAAATACAAATGTAAATTTCTTGTAACACTGGAGCTTCTCTTGTGTTCCTCAGCAAGATGTTAACAGCATTGATGCCGTAAGAAAAGCAATGAGGAGGAAAGGGGACAGCTGTGATTACATGGGTAAACATATTCATAAATCACCTACTATTTCACTTGGACAGTAGAGACAGCATATATTGATTGGGTCCACTACAAACCACCTACTACCCAGAGCCCTTTGTTAGGATGCTACATGTGGAATTCTCTAAGCAACTGCTGGGGTGAGGCAGGGAAAGAAGAGAAGAAGGGGAAAGAATTATGGTTTCTACAGAGCTTTGTTGCTATTCATTCATCTCAGTCATGTCCAACTCTTCATGTCCCCATTTGGGGTTTTCTTAGCAAAAATACTGGAGTAGTTTGCCATTTCCTTCTCCAGCTCATCTTATAAATGAGGAAACTGAGGCATATAGGGTAAAGTGACTGCCTAAGCCCAAATTCGAATTCAGATCTTCCTGACTCCAGGCCCAGCCCTTTATCCATTGTAAGATCTAGCTGTCCCTTTTATATAACTTGCTCCCACTACAATTCTGATAAGAACCATTAATTAGAAACTAACTTTGTCAATTTCAACTTGTTTATAGAAACAGATGGGGCAATCTAGCAACCACTAATCATAATTCATTGAGTTTCACCTAATATAATAATATAAATTACCATTTATATTAATTTTAAACTTCACAAAGTACTTTCCTTACAGCCCCCACAGTGAGGTATAAGATGCAGTGTAAATATCATTGGCCCCCTTTACAGATGATGAGGCAGCTAGGTGGCACAGTAGGTAGAGCATTGGTCCAGGAGTCAGGAATATCTGAATTCAAATCCAACTTCAGACACCAGCTGTGTGACTCTGGGCAAGTGACTTCACCCTGTTTGCCTCAGTTTCCTCATGTGTAACATGAGCTGGAAAAGGAAATGGCAAACCATTCCAGTATCTCTGCCAAGAAAACCACAAATGGGCTTACAAAGAATAGGGCACAACTAAACAAAAATGCCAAAAACAGATGATGAAACCGAGTCAGAGCAGTAAACTATTCCCATAGTCATCCTCTTAGGAAGCGGCAGAACCAGAATATGAACCCAGCCTTCTTCTGCCTCCAAGTTCAATGTTCTTTCTACTACTCCAGAGTGTTCCAGTACAACAAAAACTCAATACTGGGTTAGGTGCTAAGAATACTATAGAAAAACATATAAGATGTGGTATGTAATCTCTAGTAATTTATAATCTAGTGGGAAGGACAAAGTAAACACACAACAGACTATGTAATGAAGGGCTATGAAAGTGTAAGTTGTATATGATTTTTGAGAAAGGAGAGAATAATAGAACAATGAAGGCTGGAATAATGAGTGAGTGTTTCTTTATGTGAATATTCTTTAAATAATTTTTTAAAAATTCTGCTTACTGACTAAATTAGCTCAGCTTATGCTGTGAAAAATGGAGTAAGTGGCATGGTGCAGTGCCTAGAGCCTTAGGTTCAGAGCCTGAAGACTTGACTAAGTAAACTAACAACCCGGCACTTATTTGCTGTGTGACCCTCAATATTACTTAATTTTCATAAGCCTCAGTTTCCTCATTTGCATAATAGAAATAATAATTCTGAGTGTAAGTAGCAGGAAACTAGGTTTGGAATTATAGGATTTGGGTTGAAATCCAGACTCTATTTCTTATACAGGGCTTCTTAAACTTTTTCCATTCATGACCCCTTCAGCACTTCTTAAACTCCATAGTTTAAGAAGCGCTGAATGACTTTGGATATATCACAACCCTTCTGGCCTTAGTTTTCTTATTTCCAAATTGAGGAGGTTGGACTTCATTAGATGATCTCTAAGGTCCCCTCCAATTCTACATCCTATGATTCTAAAAGAACACAGGTACTTCTATTAGTATCGCCATCAAAAAGTAGGGGATGCCATGGAAGGGAATATAGTGTGAAAAAGTCCATTGCGAAGATTAATAACTTCCATGAAGAAAGTATCTAATTAAAACTCTACAAAGTCTAGATTTATAGATCAGAAATCTATAAATATTTCTGCAAACATAAATCTGAACTAATAACTGCCCAGTAAAATGTTAATTCCTTGAGCAATTTTCACTTTCAAGTAGTAACTTTCATTTTTGTATCTAGGGCACTGAGAGACAATTAGATGGCTCAGTGAATACAGTGCTTGGGAAGACCTGAATTCAAACTCAACCTTAGACATTTATTAGCTGTGTGACTTGGGCAAGCTACTTAACTTCTGCTTTCTTTAATCCACTGGAGAAGAAAATGCCAAACGACAGCAGTGTCTTTGCCAAGAAAATCCCATGGGTGGTTCACAGGTTCGTAAAGAATCGGACATGACTGAAAAAAATTGAACCACAAGAAATCCTAGGTGCTGAGCATCTGACTGTGATGGGTGTGTTAAATATGGACCTTTGATCTCCTTGGTGTGGGATATTCCAGGTACAGAAACTCCCACCACATATGTACAAGGAGAACTCATCTTTAACTTATCATGGGGGAGTGGAAGATTAAGTTACTTGCCTAGAGCCATACAGCAGGTATATGTTTGACTTAAACCTAGATCTTCCTGCCTCCAAGGTGCAACACCACATTGACTCATTGGGAACAAAAATGGTGCTTAAGAAATGCATCTTGAACAGAAGAGAATTTCCTAATTAGTCCTAAAATATCAAAAATTAAGTGACTTCTAAGAAAGATCTCATGTTTGGTGCCTCATGATTAGTCTTTGGTGGCAACCTTTACCTTTGGGTAGAAAGAAAAGATAGGCAGCTAGAAGTGAAGCTAGACTTCCAACAGAATGAAATTGAAGATTAGTTAGAATATTTTTTTCCTATTCATCTCTTTGTTACCGCCTTAAGAAATGATATTAACAAAATCAAATATTTTACCTGGCCCATGCCATATTCTACATTTGGGGAAGAATACTGATATTAACAAAAGCCAGGCAATGACATTCCCAGATGTGAGGATTATTCTTCTATAATTCAACACATTCTTTTCACATCCAAAAGATGCTGTCACAGAATCTCAGATTTGGAAGGGACTTAGGTGATAATACAATCTGGCCCAACTATGAAAAGAACCTCCTCTGTAACATACCTGAAGAGTGATGATCTAGTTTTCCTGAAGACCTCTAGTAGAGAGGAAAACACTTTACCTCCCCATGCTGCCCAATTCTCCAATGGATAGCCCTTATTTTTATGGAGTTTTTCCTTAAATTCAGCTCAAAACTTCATCTCTAACTTCCATCAACTGCCCTTAATTCTGACCTCTGGGTCTAAGCAGAACAAGTCTTATCCTTGATTAAAAAGTTGTTGTTGAATTGTTTCACTCTCATCTGACTCTTCATGACCTCATTTGAGGTTTTCTTGGCAAAGATACTGGAGTGGTTTGCCATTTCCTTCTCCAGCTCATCTTACAGATGAGAAAACTGAGGCATACAAGATGAAGTGACTTGTTCAAGGTCACACAGCTTGTTCCTGAGGCCAGATTTGAACTTAGGAAGATAAGTCTTTCTGATTCCAGGCCTGGCACTCTATTCACTGTAGCACCTAGCTGACCCAGCTCTTCAAATATGTGAAGATACTTGTCATGCCCCACCCACACTTTTCAGCTATATTAAAATGTTCCAGTGTCGATGGAAAAGAGATTGTATGTTAAAGGGTAAAATGTCCATAGGAAGGACCACTGTCATTGCTATGAGTTTACCCTTTATAACGATTCCTTTCTCCTCTCCCTTCCTGCCTCAATTTCCCCTATAATTTGAAGGACAGAAATAGTCCCACTATTCTTCTCAATTTTCTTCTAGCAACAGAACCTGTAGTTTGTAGCACATGCTGAACCAGCAGTAAATTAGACCATTTAAAAAGGGATCACCCTGTTTCCTGAATCAGGTGAAATAGAAATCTCAACATTCATTGT